ACTCTGCCCTACTTCAAAGTAAATCCCGTAATGAACGTTTTCGGCCTTCTCGTTTCATGTCTTCTCGATTTCGTCGTAGCTGAGCCTCCGTGGCTGAAACCTATTGTCCTCCACCCCAGGTGCTAAACACTATTGATGTAACAGCATATTAGACCGTAAGATCTGGAGAGAGGCTTGTCAGCATTTTCATTTGACGGTTTTCGGCAATTGTCTCTGTGGACATCCCGCAACGGGGGACACACAGTCACCTCCATTCTGTAGTCGACATCGTTATTACACAACGCCCTTCCCTCCTGCTCCCCACCCCCTCTGTTACTAAACCTTGCATATCCTCACCCTCCTCCCTTCATAGAATACCTACGGCCCTCATCAGGAATGATTTAATGGACTGTGCATGAACTACTGAGGGGTTTCGCTGGCAAGATAACATCGTATCCAGCGGCCAGTGGAGAACCCTAAACTCTCGCAGGCTAAATGGCCTGGGAATTCTTTGTTACCGATGTGTACGTTACATCAAGGGGTGGTTTCAAAAATCAAAAGAGTTTAGTTTTACGCCGCACTCAGCAATATTCCAGCTATATGGCGGCGCCATAATAATCGATTCTGGACCAGACAATCCAGTGATCAACAGCATGAGCATCGATCTGCGCAAATGGGAACCGATGACATGTGTCAACCAAGTCAGCGAGCCTGACCACCCGATCCCGTTAGTCGCCTCTCACGACAAGCATGGGTTACTGAAGATACATGTAGGTAGGTCAAACCATTTTTCATTTGTTGTTATTCACATTTGACTAAAAGAAAGACATGTTTTGTGGTTTCCCAGATCGATCTTAGACCAGGCTGTCTGTACTGATGTAAAATTGGAACGTTTAACGCTGTGTTGGATCAATCGAAATACTTTGGTTAACACACTTTTAATTCAGAATAATGCGTCCGGCAGTATCAGGCTCACTTCCGTCGTCAAAATGAGACCAATATTTCTCGGCCATCTGTTAAGGGACCCTGACTATCGGTCACTTTTTTTCCCAGACACCAGGTGTCAAGTGTTGTAGAAGGCGACATATTATTTTATCCTCAAAGAGCAGGGTGTAATATTTCCAAAACATGACGTCGGGTTTTGACGAAAGGATGCGTGTGCAGGGAATGTTAAGTACAGTTGTCCTCAAGATTTGCATTTGCGGTATCGTCCGTAACGCCGAAGTCTGGGTTCGATTCCCCACATGGCTATAATGTGTAAAGCCCATTTCTGGTGTCCTCCGTTGTGGTATTGCTGGAAAACCCTGGCGTAAAACCATACTCACTCACTCTGTCAGTTGGCATACATTGATAGTAGTTACAGCATGCGAAGTTAGGTTTGGGTGCCCCACGCCATGATACGGCTAAAATATTGTTATTTGCGTAAAATGAAATTCACTCTCTCACTCACTGAGACACAACACGTTAATGGTCCATGTGTATTTTGATACGGTCCCTGTGTCGTAATAGCAAGCCTCATCACCCGTGTGTGGGCCGGCCCATACCATCTACAGATAACATCAGTTCCGTCTGCTGCTTGTTTGCGTAGAGTCAACAGCGTATGCCCCGAGACAGGACTTTGCAGAAAAATACCCTGATCAAGGGATGAAAATGTATTTGAATGTGTCTTATCCAGTCAATGCGATTCGTTTGTGGTTTTGACTTTCGGTTGATCCCCCATGTATGAAGCTGTAATGGTACTTTCGACCACACGTTTACGTCTTAATGAGCATGTACAAGTCTGTCTACCATACCCTACAGAATCAATACAAAATCAGTCCCCATTCTTGTTTAGAACGTGTATTAAGTCCAGGATGCAGTTGTACAAAACAATCTTAGCCCTACGAAGTCTTAAGTGTGTGAGTTTAGTTTTACGCCGCACACAGCAATATTCCAGCTATATGGCGGCGGTCTGTAAATAATCGAGTCTGGACCAGACAATCCAGTGATCAACAGCATGAGCATCGATCTGCACAATTGGGAACCGATGACCAATCAACCAAGTCAGCGAGCCTGACCACCCGATCCCGTTAGTCGCCTCTTACGACAAGCATAGTCGCCTTTTGTGGCAGGCATGGGTTGCTGAAGACCCATTCTACCCCGGATCTTCACGGGTTACGATGTCTTAAGTATACGTAAAGGTATGGGAGTTACGATAACCTTAGGGCGTAGATCGCTTTGTACAACGGCACCATGATTGGATCAGCCCTTGAAATGAAACATTGTTCCAGGACCCATTGGGGTTTTAGTTGGTTTGGTTTTGTAGACATATGTTTTTCAATACAAGTCAGTCCGTATTATTTCTGTGAATTTCAAGTACGTATTCCGGAAAATGTTTCACTCCTCATTCCAGCAACAACCAGGGACTTGATTTTTGTTGTTACTCTATGCGCAACGAATTCATAACGCGCACACATAGGGCTTCTTAAAATGGTTGCATGCGTACAAAGAATTGACTATTTCATTCTTGTGGTGATCATGTTGAGAGAATCTACATGAAGAATATTGTACCTAACAAAATATTTGCTCCAATAACAGGACCAGGTAACTAATTTCACATAGATACACAAACGTTGAGGTAGTCTTGGCGTGAAATTCCACGCGCCTTCTGTGTTGGCGCTGTACCACATCTAGACTAAGGCTTAGTCTCTGAATATATATAATTTGGATAGTAACAAACAAGCCCATTTATATTGAAAAGGAGCCCTAGGGAGACCAGAGATTCCTGAACCTGAGGAAATCTAGACTTGCTTTATTTAGGGCTTTAGCACTGCAGAGGGGGTTAGGCAGTAGGGAAAATAATGTTGTTCAGGGACTGTGAGACAGACTATACCACATCGTGCCTGGTTTCCGAAGACGGTGTGGTGCCTTCAAGTTCGTTACAGCTGAGTTGCATTCTCTTGACTTGACTCCATCATCAATACCCCATCAAGGCAGCCCGCTATGTCGGCACTTGTCTAAACTGTTTACACTCTGAAAGAGTTACCCCGCTTGTTATGCGATAGTTACGATATGGACCACCAGGGTAATAACACATGCATGCTGGGACTTACAGAGAGGGAACTGCGACCCCGCGGAAAGGTTGTGTTCCGCCTGTTGGTAACGCAATAACGTTGAAGCGAAGTACGAACACGTGAAGCTAATGTATATTGCCAGTTGGATACATGCTTGCACGTGTTGACTGCTGAAACACGTGGGCGGAATGGTGATGAGCGAGAGCATGTAACGCGATGTCGCTACACATAGTGAAACCTCGTTTGTACGGAAATTCCGCATTATGGAGTGTTACCTTTATTGTTTTATGTCGCACTCAACACTATTCACGCTTTTTAACGTCGATCTGTAAATAATCGAGTGGACAAAACAATTTAGTGATTGACGTTATGATCATCGATCTACAGAGTTGAGGCTTGATGCTTAAGTAGTTGACCCATCATTTCCGTAAGTCCCATCTGAAAACTAGCATGGGTTGCAGAAAGTCAGTTCGTAATTCGTTAATTGAAAGTGGCCCTCCGAGAAAGTGGGTTTCAGATTAGACGGTAAACTCCAAGAAACGTTTTGGATTTTGGAGATGTGTTTTGATGCACTTTGTCTTATTGCATTTTTCGGTCTTTGCGTACACTCCAGAATATACTCCAGAAACAGTAGAAAGCGTCGCACCCTACTGTCTGTTACTGGAGCTCTGTCGTGAAAAGCTACAGTATGAGTGAGTGAGTTTAGTATTTCGACGCTTATTCCAGCAATATCACGGTGGGGACACAAGAAATGGGCTTCTCACATTGTACCCATTCGGGGAATCAAACCCGGGACTTAGGCGTGAAGAGCGATCGCTTTAACCACTAGGCTACCCCACCACCCCTAAAAGCTACAGAGTGAGTGAGTTGGGTTTTACGCCTCTTTTAGCAATATTCCAGCAATATCACGGCGGGGGACACCATAAATGGGCTTCACACATTGTGCTCATGTGGGGATTCGAACCCGGGTCGTCAGCGTGACGAGCCGACGCTTTAACCATTAGGCTACCCCACCGCCCATAAAAAAGCTATACAGAAGATATCCATGTACAATTGTCGTGTCTCAAGCAGGTGTGTCTCTATATTTGAAACCTTGAAGAACACTGTAATGTTTGTAAACATTACCACACAGGGAACAGTTACCATAATCTGGAGTGACAGTTAGTATAGGGGTTAAAATACACAAAACCCCAGACCCATCAAAATAGTTGTACCTTTAAACAGGTTACCTTGTAATGATTTTGATGAAATTACTTGCAAAGGCGTTTCCTCTGGCGCGTGGGGCGGTGGGGTAGCCTGGTGGTTAAAGCGTTCGCTCGTCACGCCGAAGACCCGGGTTCGATTCCCCACATGGGTACAACGTGTGAAGCTCATTTCTGGTGTCCCCCGCCGTGATATTGCTGGAATATTGCTAAAAGCGGCGTAAAACCAAACTCACTCACTCACCCACTCCTCTGGCGCGTGCGCTGTTTATGTGTATGAAAGATCCAGATACTGTTTTGCATATTTTGTTTCATGTCTTTTGCTTAAGTGATCGATACATTTCATTCAGCATGTTTCATTTCAGCTTAACATATATTATCATTGCGGCTCAAGTGTTGCCTAGCCGTGCTCTTATTTGATAGTTGGTGCGCTCATATCCTTTATATGCGCTAGGCTAAATCGGAACACCACAATCAGGTAAAACAGTTCCTTGTTCTTAGGACAATTCACATACAGAAAGCGTTGGATTAATGCAGTACCGCTATGCAACGGCTTCAACGGGTTAAAGCGTTCGCTCGTCACGCCGAAGACCCGGGTTCGATTCCCCACATGGGTTCAATGTGTGAAGCCTATTTCTGGTGTCCCCCGCCGTGATATTGCTGGAATATTGCTAAAAGCGGCGTAAAACTAAACTCACTCACTTACTCAGTTAGATGTATGTAGTGTATGGCAGTGACAGTTGAAATTGTGCCTGTTCTTATTCAGAAGGAAGAGTTCGTAAACTTGCGAGATGCCCGCGCCAACGTAACCGGTCCGAGCACGGATACGCATCACTTTGTCGGAGATCAGGTATTCTGCATGTAGTGAAGTGCGCCTATCAACACGCTAGCTGGTGTAGATATCATCCTCGTGAGTCGAGGGCGTGTGATGTATTGTCAGTTGTTTCAGCAGGTCTTGACGTCATTAGAAAGTTGGAATTAGATTTGCTGCTGCGATGTCCCTGTTGAAATGTTTCATTAGCCTAACCACATTTGCGTTTCTGTCCGCATGTATATTCACTTGCATCTGCTAACACTGTTAAGTTAACACTGTGACGTATGATTGTACGGGAGTACGTCCCAATACGTTATATGTGACGCTGCTGCATGGATATGAAACTGACACACGCTTGCAATTATTTTCTAACCTTTCACCTCGCAACTTCTAAAATGTTTCCAACACCAACATGTCCAGTAGAAACAGGTGTCCGGACGTCCAAAGGTGGCTCGGCGGAGTTGCGTCCCCTGGGAGCCCTGTAACTGATGGTTCTCTTCCCAGATTCGCCACGATTGTGATTATTGGTTTGTCAGCACCATGAAATCATGTACACACCGGTGTTAAACCAAACACACCCAAGGGTTTACATATTGCTATATTGTTTGTTTTAATTAATATCCAGCTGTAGACAGCGTTAGAAATTAACGTCGGTCCTTAGGTCCGAAGCCGACTAAAAACCACTCGGACCCGCAGCTTTTGTTTTCTGCAGGTCCTTAAGGCCGACAGCTTTTTCATCCCTAATAATTATGAGTATTATTTCCATATTAAAATATAGGGCCTACACATTCTGATCAGAACTTTTTTTTATGGTTCTGGGTCCTTAAGGCCTACATCTTTTCAGGGAATGGGCAAACACTGGCTGTAGAACTTCTGAGTACAATAGGTATCGTCGAATGTATCCTAGAAGGGGGCAGTAAAGTGGTTGAGGCATTGACGCTTAACCTAGAACGCCCTGGTTTGGTTCCACATACTGGTGTATGTGTGACAACCAGGGTGGATTTAGCTTAAAGTATAAATAGTTTACAGTTGCTGTTTTTTATTCTTTCAAAAAAGAAATATAAACATGTTTGCATATCACCCACTCACTATTTTAAATCGAGTGGCGCAACACAGTGACATAACTGAGGTGGAATTAGACTAACGCTTAGTCTCTGAATATATACCATCCCCAAAAAAGAAACGCATAGGCGTTTTGTATTTTTAAAAATCTATGAATTACCTATTGTGTTCAAACATTCGTCAAAATATGTAACAAAAGTGTCGATTACATGATTTTATACAATTGCACAAGTGAGAAATCGACTTTACCTGAAAATGTTGAATTTGAGATTTCTTACAAGGATTAAAAACGCATCGCAACAACGCAACAAAATTCACCTTCCAGTTGAAATTGTGCAGCAAAGATCATGCTCTGCCTGGCTATAAAAATCTAGATTACTTACGGAAATCGGCATTCGTTTTGAAGGAGTTTCAAGGTCAAAGCACTACGCCACGTCTTGACGCTGCGACACGGAACATCGCCATTGAAAGAATGCACGCTGGAGATTACCAATCTTCTGTTGCCAGGCGTCTGAATGTTAGTCTGAGCACGATATCACGGCTTGCAGCTCGTTACAACCAAACAGGTATAACAAATGACCGTCCCCGTACTGACAGACCTCGAGTCACCACTGCAGCCCAAGATCGGTACATCCGGGTACTACATTTGCGTGATCGTACTGCCACGGGTGAGAGCACAGCAGCCAGTGTGCCTGGACTTCGGAGGATATCCGGTCAAACTGTAGGGAACAGGTTGAGAGAGATTGGACTGAGAGCCAGGAGACCCGACGTCGGGACCGTGCTACGTCGTCACCATCGCGCTCAGCGTCTCTGTTATCTACAAGTATCCACTTGGTTGTATAGACATTACCTTCTTCTAAACTGGTGTAAAAATTCATGCACTAAAGTCTATTTGTGGACGAGTTATACAGGTTTGAAAATACAACATTTTCGCAACAGATTTCTGGCCTATGCGTTTCTTTTTTGGGATAGTATACATAATTTTGACAGTAACAAACAAACCCATTTAAACTGAAAAGGAGCCCCGGGGAGACCAGAGATTCAGAACCTGAGGAAATCTAGACTTGCTTCATTTGGGGCTTTAGCTTTGCAGAGTGTTCAAGGCAGTAGGGAGAATAATATGGTTCAGGGACTGTGAGAAAGGCTAAGGTGGAATTTGTGACCCGTGTATGCATAACAGTACTATATTTAAGGGCAGTAACAGAATGTGAAGAACTCTAAGCTGAATAATAAGATCCGGTATATACTAATAAGGCTGCCACCTATTACGTTATGCACTCACTACAGGTTGACAGAACACCGATGACTGAGACATTGGATTCGTGACAGAACAAAGATGACTGAAAAATGAGATGGGTGACTGACGACAGTTAGATAATTGAGAAATAAGATGGGTGACTAAGAACAAAGTTATATGACTCAGAAATGAGATGGGTGACTTGGAACACGGTCAGATGACTCAGAAATGAGATTGGGTGACTTGGAACACGTTTAGATGACTCAGAAATGAGATGGGTGACTTGGAACACGGTCAGATGACTCAGAAATGAGATGGGTGACTTGGAACACGGTTAGATGACTCAGAAATGAGATGGGTGATTTGGAACACGGTTAGATGACTCAGAAATGAGATGGTGACTTGGAACACGGTTAGATGACTCAGAAATGAGATGGGTGACTTGGAACACGGTCAGATGACTCAGAAATGAGATGGGTGATTTGGAACACGGTTAGATGACTCAGAAATGAGATGGTGACTTGGAACACGGTTAGATGACTCAGAAATGAGATGGGTGACTGAGGACACGGTTAGATGACTGGGAAATGAGATTGGTGACTGAGAACACGGTTAGATGACTGAGAAATGAGATGGGTGACTTGGAACACGTTTAGATGACTGAGAAATGAGCTGGGTGGCCTGGAACACTGTTAGATGACTGGGACATTGGATTCGTGACTGGGAACACAGATGGCTGAGACATTGGATTCGTGACTGACACCACAGTTAGGCGACTGTGACATTGGATGCGTGTCTGAGCAGGTTCATTGATAAAAGAAATGGGTGACAAAGAATCCAAATTGACGACTGAGACAAGAGATGGGTGCTTGAGTATACAGATTATGGCTGACAACAGAAATAGGCGACGGGCAATACAGATGATGACAGGAGGACTACAGATCTCTGCGAATACAAATTGAGAATTCCATGTACACCCTCCCTAATGACTGGGACAGGTGTCTGCTAGTAAATGTCTGCTACCGACTCTAACTGAAAACCTATGTGCTGGTTAAACGTCGCTGCCAGGAGCTTGAACCATTGATCATGTACGATGGCGCTGCGCCAGAGTTAGCGAAAGAGGCCGCTTACTAACCATGTTCGCGAATAGTCCCGTCTCAAGCTGTCGTTGTGATGCATCAAGGCTGAATAAAATCCGCTTGAAAACAACAAAACTGACTTTAATTAATTTAGATTTGCTAGTTAAATAAACAATATAAAATAAGATGTAAAACTGGTTTTTAACTACCTCAAAATTGATGTTCGGACCATAGGTTTCCTAAATGTTTCCTGCCTTTGGAGGCGGGATGGTGCCACTGTCTGAAACCATTATCTACGGAGATCATGGAGATGATATGTTAAGATCCGCAGAAGATACTATCATCGACCTTGGTGGTACTTTACTTCTGCCCAGAGTATACCCTACTACGTAGATGGAAGTATTTTGTACCAGGGGTTGAACAGTACCATTGCCCGACTCCCGGGTCGAGTGGAATTCTCAGGTCGGTCCACATTAAACTTCACCGTGGTACAGCAGTGAAATGTTTTGATCTATGTATTTTGATGATGAAATAAAAATGCAATTGCTACCAATTGATAAAGATTATTTGCAAAAGAAACCAAATTGTTAATTGTGGTCAAGTGTCCAGTGTACTCTTGAAAAACAATTCAACCCCTGTGTACGTAGATGATACGTACATTTACGTACGTATGAGTATTTACGTATTACTCAGGGGAAGGTATTATCAACTGTCGAATTATCGACTCGTTAGATGTAACCTTTTGGCTTGATTAATGACGAATATTTTAATTTCAAACGTAATATGTGTTTTTAAGTACTATCTAAACATTAAATGAAGTAAGTATTCTTCACTCATTTTCAGTTTTAATGTTGATAGTTTTACAGTTTGAAAATATTTTCAGTCACTTTTGAAAATACAGTAAATATAGAAAAGATGCAAAACATTTCAATTAATGTTGGCCCTGGGTCTGTCAGCACTTCCGGGTATGTCAGCACTTCCGGGTATGTCCTCACCAATGTGCTTCGAACATCCGTCAATGTCTTCCGCAACCCTTAGTTGTAAAAGGCAAATTACGGTATCGGGCGTCAGGCTGCGTTGATGCAAGTCATCATATCACGATAACGTAGACCGATGTTCGTGACGTCAGTCCCTGCATTGTCCGTTCCAGACGCAATTATTTACAGATCATCGATAACACTAAAACACCAATGTGTTTTAAGGTCTATGACCGTTTCTCCCAAAGCTTGCAGGTCGTGGTGTAACTGTAAAACTGTTGGAAACGTTGAACCTAAGTCACTCACTTAACTATTGTAATGTCAGAGATGCAGCTCTCTTACTTTAACAACTGGCGTAACACAACGTAACACATCTATTACAGGGTGGGACATCTAAAGGCTTTTAATCCTCGCTCTTGTACATCACAAGCCAGGAAGCTTAACGTGTTATGTTCGCATGAAAGGGTACTCCAAATACCATCAATTATAGACGTTTGTGCCGCTTGGGAAGGCTATTAAGACTGTTTTATCCAGTTAAAATTTTATTTTGAAGTCGTTCTGTCGCTAATCCTCATCTGCCTCAAAGAAAGCTTTCCATTTATGAACTCACAGAACATTTTCATGACGTTATTTTTGACAGAACATTCTTGTGTATCATAGCAAGATTTAGTTACAATCTTATAACAATTATTACATGCCCCAAAATGAAACGGCTAATTACCTTACTGCACTTTATAATGGAATTATTTGATGTATTTTCTGTTCACAGCTAACAAATTTTCCCACCTGCGCCATGAACGTGACAGAACGTTCTACTTTGACTTCAGCGAGGTGGCTGTCGGCGAACACGTGTCTGGATCTGAACTCCGGCTTTATAAAGAACGTGCACACAGGTCGCACTTCCGGCACCAAGACTTCCACATCGAGTTGTTCCGAATGAAGCAGGGTCGTGACCCCGAGTAAGTAGATCTTACAGATTAGTGACCTGACTCACCGAGATTCGACACCACCACCCCACCCCCTGGTTTACCATGATAAAATGCGATATATGGCCACACTCCCTAATTAATACCTTGAAATGTAAATATTTGTTATCACATTTTGAGATCTGTTGTTGCCTTGTATGTTTCGGACCCGTGAAGGTCGGGCTAGAATGGGTGTTAAGCAATTCGTTCTTGTCACAAAAGACGTTAAAATATGGTACTTGTGGTCCCTGCCTGGCGCTAGGCATTAATGGGTACAACAAGGACTGGTCGGCTCGGAGTCAGTATAATGTGTCTGAGTAGGGTATTCATGCTTCACTGCGGCATGGTATCTCAGTGGGCTAGCACTCTAAAACCAGCTTCAGTCTGGGCTAGTACAAGCAGCCGCACATACACATACACACGCATGCACGTCGTCATATGAGCGAAATATTCTCATGCACGACGTTAAACCCAAATTCACCTCACCTCACCAGTTGTGTAAATCTATGGTCACGATGTCAGTTAAGGGGATGTCTGATGCAGACTCGATTATTTACAGATCGACGTCATATACCTGGAATAAAGGAAATGCAGCGATACCCAGTAAACAAGCAGATGTAATTTTCTTCAAATTGCGCTGTTTGGGGGTCAATCACATAAGAAATGCCGATATTGGAGATGGGATAAACAAAACAAAAGCACCTATCCTAGTGAACTTATTGTCGGTTTGTTTAAGCCAAAAGTACATTCTCTGAACGTTATTATTGCAGAGATAAAGTTTTGGAATCAGAACTAAATACTACCATAAAGGGAGATTACCGAGGATGGCTTCGTTTGAACGTGACCGGGGCGGCTGAGAAGTGGACACGGAACCCTGGTTCAAACCTCGGCCTGTACATGAAGATTACCGGAGCTAGAGGTAAGTTGTATGTATGTGGACAGCAAGTTCGTGCTACACTAATCCGATACATGAAGCATTTTGTTCCAGTGTAGCAATCTCAAAACCAGGGTGTGGATACGCGGCATTTGATTGGCTAACCAAGTTGAACCGTAAACAAACAGGCTACGCCCTCTGGCGGAGTTTTGCATCCTGAATATCTGATAATAGAAAGGGCAGAGTTTGTGTTGCATTAAACTGCAGAACGACGTCCCTGATTCCGTGGTGTTTGTCTACGTGTTATTGTCAGCGTTAATCAGTCTGTAAAGATAATATTATTGACGTATTTATAATTCACTTCAGTACCTATTTGTTTGCGTTTAGGGCAGCATTGTTTTAATGTAAATTACAAAATCTTTATTTTTTTCATATGTACATCAGAAAAGACAAAAATAACATCTGCAACTTTGATTCGGCTGTATTTTGGCTATTTAGGTGTGGCTATCTGAAAAGGAGAAAAAGACCTGTTTTAAAAAAAGCTAATATATTCTGTTTTCTACAACCAAAACATGTTTTGTCAAATTTGCAGATTTTGAATCCATAGCACACATTGTACTGCAAGCAAAAGCAGCAGAGAACAACAACGAAACGCAGGAGAGAACACCTAATAGATTGAATCAGATGTTACTCTCACAAAGTTGTATATTAATAAATTATATGAAAAAAAAAAGAATGTTAATACCTAGCACTTTGTTTTCTTGTGAATTTTCACTCGTCCCCTGCCTTCACCCTTCATCTCAGCACTAGCACTTAAAGGAAGCAGTTGAATGGGCAGTTGGTAGTTCCTGAGTTGAGTCGGCAAAAACAAAGAAACCTTTCCCTATTTTGGAGTCGGCGGCCAAATTACAGTCGGTCGGGTGATGAGAAAGACAGAAATAAAAATATTGCCCTTATATAGTCATAAACGTAAAATCGGTGTGCATACGTTGTGTAAATTTGTTTCGCTAATTTATAAAGTTTGTACACGGATATATAATTCAGTTCTGAGTTATGTTAATATTTCAGGTCAGGATGTGGACCCAAGACCTATTGGAATAGTCGGCCGACGGGGCTCCACGGCCAAACAGCCGTTTCTGGTCGGGTATTTCCGGATGGATACCGAACTGCACGAACGACGTCGACGATCCGCTCGTCGGCGAAGTCGCCAAGACGTCACATACGCCGATCAACCTTCCTATCCCGGCAGTAAGTTGTAACAAGTGTTATGTGTTTTTCCGTTTCAGTACTCGACTTCTAAGATGAACAGATGTCATAAATGTTTAAGACCACGGCCCCGTAAAATGTTAATAACAATGTCTTGTTATCAGTAGGACCAGAACTAACGACAAATTACTAGTATTTGGACCAAAATATTGAAATGTCAAACCTGTCTACTGAGGTTGATGCCTGCAGACTCTGTATCGCATCGCATCGCATCGCACCGCATCACATCGCATCGCATCAGTGCATTAACTATGCAGAATGTGTAAGCGACAGATAGAAATAGATATTTCCCGAGTTATTGTTCCACAACTGGCCTCAAAGCAAGGTGAGTTCACACTTCAAAACAGTTCCGTCAGACAGACGGAAATGGACGGAATTTGTGTGGTTGTTATTTTATCACCTCCCGAGACTTCTTGTTACCTTATAGAGTGTAGATACGTCTATAAAGTTTGCATGAGCCTTTTAGATCACCTGACCTCGTGGTGAATTTGACACAGGCTGAATTGTCAATATGGCCGTTACGAGAGCCACATAGACCAACATAAATTCAGCCATTTTGTTTTCAAGGTGCAGTTCGTAGTCAGTCGCAGCTTATGTGTTCCGTAGAGCGCGATGTTTTGACAATGCATTTAAGTTCTATCAATTCCAACCTGCATTTACTGACTCTAGATGAAGTGTGAAGTGAAAGGGTATGTATTGTTACATTTCAGACTTCCCAAGGTTCCAGCGAAAGGCCTGTCAACGCAGGACTCTGTATGTGAGCTTCAGGGACCTTGGATGGCAGGTGCGTTAGTTGGCCTTGGTTTGTTTCTTCCGATTTGTTAGTCCAAAGTGATGAAAAGAAGATGATTGTAAAAGTAATGATTTCAGAATGATACTTTAAATGTTATTACCGAAGCCTTGTTTCTCCCGTTGTTCATGTATTGCCCTGGAATACCATGGACATTCAATGAGTTTTTACAGATTAGGAGGTCATCGAGAGTATTTTACTTGTTGTTACGTTGGTAGTGATTCTTGTGCACCTGATGGTCATTTTTGTAGGAGCTGGTCAGACTCGCTGACTTGGTTGACACGTCATCGGTTCCCAATTGCGCAGATCGATGCTCATGCCGTTCATCACTGGATTGTCTGGTCCAGACTCGATTATTTACAGACCGCCACCATATTGCTGAGTGCGGCGTAAAACTAAACTCGCTCACTCGCTCAATTGTGTAGGAGCCGATGAAACTTTAGCTAGAATGGTTATTGTTTGAACAGGACAACTGTTTGTCATGGATCGCAGTAACACTCCTGTAGGGATTACTGGTCAGTATAGGCTACCAGTAACTTATGATTTTCATGACAACTGAGGGGCAGTGGGGTAGCCTAATGGTTAAAGCGTTCGCTCGTCACGCCGAAGACCCGGGTTCGATTCCACACATGGATACAATGTGTGAAGCTCATTTCTGGTGTCCCCCGCCGTGATATTGCTGGAATATTGCTAAAAGCGGCGTAAAAACAAACTCACTCACTCACTCATGACAACTGATCAAGCGCTCAGGCTCTGGGACTTAGCTGATTGCCCATCAACCAACTTGTTCCTTGCTGTTGCTGATTCTCTTCACCTGCTGCCGGTATTACTAACCTGTGTACAACAACGTTTACGTAATACTCTATGCAGTCCCATTCTCAATACTACATCCCCACCCGATACACAGACCATGTCGGAGTGTAAGTTGGGTGAGTGAGTGAGTTGGGTTTAAGGCTGTTTCAAGGGCATTCCAGTCAGACATACATTGTAGCATTCAGGTCGATTTTGATGTAGGACAGGACCGTCACGTTAACCACTTTGATGAAACACAGATGATGCTGACAAACCTCGAAACGTAATTGTCGTACTCGGGACTCGACCCAATCGTTCTTCTGTGACCAAGGGAGGCAACCCTGTGTCACTCTTGCCCCAGTTGAGTTAGAATGTTACAACGTGACTGTGTAATCCCAAAATGATAGAAAAGGGACAATTAATAGCTGAGGTTTAACAAGACAGTCAGCATTTAGTATGAATCGCTATTTAACAGCAGCGTGAGTGACAGCAGTTAATCACTTCTATCAATTTAACATGGCTGATGTCATGCTGTGTCGTGAGGTGTTATGCTAACATCTACCATGGCCTGCCGCCCCTATCGATTCCTCGGCTGTACAACCTTCCGGGGTGTTTACTTAAACTGCCGCCGTTTTACTGTTTTGCAAATAATATTAGAAACGCCAAGAAATAATTTCATTCCTGACTTGGCTGGGGCAGTTTCGACCGAGTCTGACGTAACCTAATGGGCCATCTATCATGTTGGATCAATACTATGCAGCGCCAGTAACTTCCAACCTGGGTGCGCCAAGTGCTTATGAAATGAGTTATGGCGGAGAGACTTAGTCAGTTGTCAGAACGTGCTCAATTTGTCATTCCTCGCCGCTCTCTGCGTCTCGTGCTTTTAAGCATGAGCTAATCTCAAAGAAAACTAATATTCTCTGAATGTTTGAAAAGTCGCTGTTTAGATTTTAACGTGAGGCTGTTTCGTTTGTTGAAGTAGTGGGGTTCCTTTGAAAACAGCATGCCCGGTGGTATCCATTTACAGGACGTGAAGTATGTGAATTGTGAAAACTGGAATGTTTGGGGCAACAAGGTCGTACCACAGGGCGTGGACATATGTGGACGCAGTGGGTTTGTTGCAAATTGGATGTGGACACATGCTTACACATATGCAGTGAAAATGATTATCTGGTGATATAACTTGGCTGATTATAGTTGTGATAAAACCTGAGATTATGGTAGTGATGAAACGTGTGATTATAGTAGAGATGAAACGTGTGATTATAGTAGTGATGAAACCTGAGATTATAGTAGTGATAAAACCTGAGATGATAGTAGTGATGAAACCTGAGATTATAGTTGTGATAAAACCTGAGATTATGGTAGTGATGAAACGTGTGATTATAGTAGTGATAAAACCTGAGATGATAGTAGTGATGATGATAAAACCTGAGATTATAGTAGTGATAAAACCTGAGATTATAGTTGTGATAAAACATGAGATTATAGTAGTGATGAAAGTAGTGATGAAACCTGAGATTATGGTAAACGTGATTATAGTAGTGATGAAAACTGAGATTATAGTAGTGATGAAACCTGAGATTATGGTAGTGATGAAACGTGTGATAATAGTAGTGATAAAACATGCGTGATTATAGTAGTGATAAAACGTGACTGACTGACTGACTGACTGACTGACTGAGTTTGGTTTTACACCGCTTTTATCAATATCCCAGCAACATCACGGCGGGGGACACCAGAAATGGGCTTCACACATTGTACCCATGTGGGGATTCAAACCCAGGTCTTTTGCGTGACGAGCCAACACTTTAACCATTAGGCTACCCCACCGCCTTGATAAAACGTGAGATGATAGTAGTGATAAAACGTGTGATTATAGTACTGATAAAACGTGAGATTATAGTAGTGATAAAACCTTAGATTATAGTGGTTATAAAACCAGAGATGATAAAACCTGAGATTATAGTAGTGATAAAACCTGAGATTATAGTAGTGATAAAACCAGAGATTATAGTAGTGATAAAACCTGAGATTATAATAGTGATAAAACCTGAGATTATAGTAGTGATAAAACGTGAGATTATAGTAGTGATAAAACCTGAGATTATAGTAGTGATAAAACCTGAGATTATAGTAGTGATGAAACCTGAGATTATAGTAGTGATAAAACGTGTGATTATAGTAGTGATGAAACATGCGTGATTATAGTAGTGATGAAACCTGAGATTATAGTAGTGATAAAACGTGAGATTATAGTAGTGATAAAACCTGAGATGATAGTAGTGATGAAACGTGAGATTATAGTAGTGATGAAACCTGTGATTATAGTAGTGATAAAACCTGAGATTATGGTAGTGATGAAACGTGTGATAATAGTAGTTATAAAACGTGCGTGATTATAGTAGTGATGAAACCTGAGATTATGGTAGTGATGAAACGTGTGATAATAGTACTGATAAAACATGCGTGATTATAGTAGTGATAAAACCTGAGATGATGGTACTGATGAAACGTGAGATTATAGTAGTGATAAAACCCGAGATTATAGTTGTGATGAAACCTGAGATTATGGTAGTGATTAAACCTGAGATGATAGTAGTGATAAAACGTGTGATTATAGTAGTGCTAAAACGTGACTGACTGACTGAGTTTGGTTTTACGCCGCTTTTAGCAATATCCCAGCAACATCACGGCGGGGGACACCAGAAATGGGCTTCACACATTGTACCCATGTGGGGATTCGAACCTGGGTCTTCCGCGTGACGAGCCAACGCTTTAACCATTAGGCTACCCCACCGCCCCGATAAAACGTGAGATGATAGTAGTGATAAAAAGTGTGATTATAGTAGTGATAAAACCTGAGATTATAGTAGTGATAAAACCTGAGATTATAGTAGTGATAAAACCTGAGATTATAGTAGTGATAAAACCTGAGATTATAGTAGTGATAAAACCTGAGATTAGTGATAGAACCAGAGATTATAGTAGTGATAAAACCTGAGATTATAGTAGTGATAAAACGTGTGATTATAGTGGTGATAAAACCTGAGATTATAGTAGTGATAAACGTGTGATTATAGTAGTGATAAAACCCGAGATTATAGTAGTGATAAAACGTGTGATTATAGTAGTGATGAAACGTGTGATAATAGAAGTGATAAAACATGCGTGATTATAGTAGTGATAAAACCTGCGATTATAGTAGTGATAAAACCTGAGATTATAGTAGTGATAAAACGCGATTATAGTAGTGATAAAACCGTGATTATTATGATAAAACGTTATAGTAGTGATAAAACCTGAGATTATAGTAGTGATAACACGTGTGATTAGTAGTGATAGTCATGTGTAATGTGTAATTATGAAAATAGCAATTAGAGTAATGTCTTATTTAAGTAGTGCAATAATAACAATATTGTGGGCATCATAATATTAATCATTATTATTGGTATTGTAATATTTAAGTAATGGAGTCGTAGAAATAGAATGGTGACAAGAAATTGTTGAAGTTGTGTGAGAGAAGAAACTGCAAGATATATACATATTACCCTTTGTTCTTTTTGTTTGAATTACGGCAAAACGTTCCTACATCCTCTCCAGTAGGACTGTTGGCATCTTTATTCGCCCAGCACCTGGCGCCGCTATCATGAAATAGGTGTATTCGCGCGCAGTGTTCCGAGCAGGTGCATGTGTCATTTCAGTGCAACTCCATACCAACCGATAAACGAATCATTTGCTGCTAATGTATTAGTTCAAAGATTGAGATCGGATGTGTTGACTGAGATAGCACCCCTTTACCTATATTTTTGGACCGTTTGGCTTTGAAGTTCGGTCTTCAGAAGACAAGGAATTAGGAATTGTTTACTATATGCATCATTATCTAGACTATCTTTTGAAATGTAAATAGTTTTAGAAATTATCTTGTAATAGATAGTGACGGAATTTAGACTTGCCAAGCTGTTGCAAGGACACTTGTGATATGTTTAAGGTAGGTCTGTGAGAAATTAATTCTCATTTTGCGCTTCAACACAGTCGAACCAGATTGGCATAATGTGTTTCACCCTACGCAATAACGCACGCACACAGGCACACACACCAATATTCTCAAGTCTGTCTCACTCACACAAGTATGTATACCGCACGATACTTAGCACAGACACATTTTCAACAGCCTCTCCGTACGAACATAGTCCATGTTATTGAGTTATGTATACTCCCCATCAAAAGTTTAGACACTTTTGTAAATGTAGCCACTTTCTTCAGTCAACTGTTCTAAACTAGATTTTGCAAAGTATTCCATGCTGTTTAAAGGGACTGTTTATACATGAACTGGTGTATTGAAAAACAAATTCGTAACGTTGAAAAGATTATTGTCATGAGTTCAGTAAATAATGAAACTCAGTGAAAATTGGCGAATTCTTAACAAAACTTTACACCAAAACGCAGCTGTTCACATGCACGATATTTGCACATACTTTTAAATAATTTGATGCATGATCCTCGTGCTATTCATCTGCAAAAGGTTTGCAGTTTGTTCCCCAAGCTAGTGGATAAATTCATCTTCAATGTAATCATATGTATGTATGTATGTATGTATGTATGTATGTAACATATAGTAAGTGCTTTAAGTGAGTTTAAACTTTTGATGGGTAGTATATAATGTTAGAACAGACTGACTGACTGAGTTTGGTTTTACGCCGCTTTTAGCAATATTCCAGCAACATCACGGCGGTATAATGTTAGAAAAGGTGGATGAGTGAGTAAGTGATAAATATATATATTGGCACTGTATTGCGCATTATTAAGCTGCAGCATGGCACTGTTGTTGATTCTAAATGATATTTTTCAGGACTGGATTATCGCCCCTGATGGCTACTCCGCGTTCTACTGCGACGGAGAATGTGCCTTCCCCCTCGGAGCTCACATGAACGCAACTAACCACGCCATTGTTCAGACTCTAGTACATCTCATGGACCCGTTCATGGCACCGAAACCTTGCTGTGCTCCCACCAAGCTGACGGCAATATCCGTCTTATACTTCGACCATAACTCAAACGTAGTGCTTAAAAAATACAAGGGGATGATAGTGAAGGCATGTGGGTGTCACTGAGATACGAGACGCTGGTGTACACTCACATGGGCCCCATGGTGTTCAAAGCTTTCTCTGTGTGCATAAAACTCGATGTCTGCGGATGCCGTTCAAGAGGACAACGTGACCTTTTGATAGCATCTATCGATCCGTGGATGAAGATACGAGAAAGCCAATTCCACCAGCAAAACTGCCGCCAATTTGATAATTCAAATCCATGGCTGACGGCCGATTATTAAAACACGCCAATATGTAACAGATTTTCAGTTTCAAGATAAAAACAATCGGCTTCAGAGACCGTTGAACGTAGATGGAAACCATCATGTTCCAAGTTTCACAGAACACAATCAGCGCTTTGCCCAGACTGCGACCGGGCGTATGACATAAGAACGTCAGTCTTGTTTGATCCTAGCAATTGAGGAACATGGCTTGCTTTTATAGCCAAAGAACGACATGTTGGACATGTTAAGCAAACGTCCAACAAAATGGCCGTTGTCGTGGAATTCCAAAGAACATGCTGAAGACTCGTTGCAAAGAGGGCTACTACATCCTCTGTAGATCCCGTCTGTTCTATGATGGCTGGTGTAGTGTCGACTAGAACACGGTGATTCCTCGGAATATAGAACATGGCATATTCCAACGAGACAACCGTTCATGGTACTTACATTTACCCTGCTTCGACATTGATGTTCTGTACGTTGCGCAGAACAGAGACATACCGACAAAAGGGGCTATTTTCTATTGAAAGATACAGATTGTTGACATTTTGTATGGACACGTGGGTAGATTTGAATGGCGTATTAACAGGTATGAAAATAAGTGTAAAATGATATTTTCTCAGTCTCTCAAGGCATTGTATATTTAGTTGATTCAGTTTGAAGATAATGTGTATGGAGTGTTTTGTAATGTAATACAGTCAAACAACGATGTGTCGAAGTCACGGTTGTATCGAAGTAAAGGTGTGGTCCCAGCGTATTTCTGCTTCGGTGATCTATGAATACACAATACCATTTAGAAAGTGGTCAAATGTAACGTATGTTATATTTGGGATTACTCTTTCTCAGTAAAGTACAGATTTTAGTACTTTTTGTTGAGTCCCATCCGGGATTTTAACCCACACTCTCAGAGTCAGGATCGATGCTCATGTTGTTGATCACAGGATTGTCTGGTCCAGACTCGATTATTTACAGACCGCCGCCATATAGCTGGAATATTGCTGCGTGCGGCGAGTCAGGCACCTAATCGCCAGCTTCGATGGCCATTTGGCGTTTTACCGAACTTCGGATAACTCGAAGAATTTATGTAACTTCGACACAATGGTGTGTGACTGTAGAACTCCAAAACAAGGGTGGGCGTTCATGTATCGTATCCCATCATGACAAAATGTATCGTTAACGCCACGATGTATGTACAGTCGTTATAGGTGTTCATATGTTGGTATATGATAAAGGTAGAACTATATGTCACGTGCCGCTTGTCGCGTCTGAATGATGGACACCGCATACAGACTCGGATAAAATAAACTGAGACGTCCAATACTTAGACGCCTGCTTAGTACGGTTCTACTCAACGTTTGGTAAGAATACATAATTATAGTACATAATGCCACGAATGAAGGACGCTCACCGCCACGAGTATTTAAGATGAATCTGAACATGTATCCGTTCCATTGCAATATAACGTATATTAGTCGTAAAACAAAATACAATTTTGGATATGACCAGTGGGACTATCCCCAGCAGTTAGTCCCATTCAGTCCAACCTGAATGCTTTATGTATTCTTGCCACAGAGCGAGCAGCATATACCTTAGTTTATTGAAAAACACATTCGTTCAGTTTCCATTTCCTCAAAGGCTTTGAGATGTACATTCGATTATATGGTTTGACGGGTGACTTTTTACTTGAATCTCTTCTAACAAAATTTACACATCTTAGGATAACTGTAAATCTACTTTGAATTATGTTTTACAGAAGAAAAGATAAAAGTAACATATTTCCTTGGATGAAGGGAAATATCTATCTATATGTCAAATCTAGAAGAGGTATAGTGTAATGGATTTCCCGAAACTTAATCGACATTATTTTTCCAGGCACATGGGAACTTTGAGAATTTCCACATAAGAGTAATACATGAAATAAGTCATTCTATAAGATGTTAATACGGATATACAATTTTCATAATTATTGAATGCTGGAATTACCCATACATCAAACAAAAGTTGATGGCGCTTTGGTCTACTTTTAGTTTCAGTTCAACAAGTATTTTATGGAAACTGAATCGGAAGAATGTATAGACAGGTGACACTGACAGCTTACTTGGTCAAGGTCTTCTGTGGGAAATATGTGTATTGTGATGGACAGACCCCCAGCATCATTTCAGCGATCAATTAGAACACTTCAGTTTTTTGTAAATATATTGCTTGAAATAGTGTTATGATCATTATATGGCTGAACCATTCTTCTGGAATATGCATCTTTATGTTTCATTATAAGTAAGTGCAATTTCTTTTCTAATTGTATATATTTATTATCCTGCAGAAATCTTGGCTTAAGTGGTGGATAAAGAAGACATTTGCATGATGAAGTACGGTTTAAACTGTGAATTGTTCAATATTTGCAGGTATCGTTTGTGTTGGAATCGTGCTTACCGTCAGTCAACGTGGTTTTTATCCAAACTGAAACACACAAAAAAATCAATTTATTAACTGAAATACTTTTACTGTCTTACTGGTGAAATGTCATGCGACCTCAATTGGAAAGACATAACGGTATGAGTCACAATTCGCGAGAATGTTATGGATTTCCTTACAGCTGATATAAAATATTGATAGTTTGGTGAAACATAGGTCGTTCTCAGCCACTGCCTCGCTTTGACGCACCATGATGCTGATACTGCAGCTCTGGAAAGAATTAATATTGATCGATGACCAGGCTGCAGGGTTTGGGTGGCCATGTGGTCAAAGGGTTCGTTCGTCGCGCCAATGCATCAGGTTGGATCCCCCCTCGGGCTCATTGTATGAAGGCATTTCTGGATAGCCCGCCCTGATCGCGATAGTTGTGATATTGTTGCTAAATACGGCGTAAAACAACTTACTATTAATTGAAACGGACCGATCAGTTTATTACCTTGTTGAATCCGAAGGTATTTTGATTTTGACTGTTTAACTTTGATGATGCCGTTCAAAGTCAATTTGGAAACATTTCCTCCCCTTCTTTTTGCTACAGTTGGGTAGACTGGTGGCTAAAGGTTCGCTCGCCACGTCCAAATCCCTGGTCCTATTCCCGACGTGCATACCATGATTGAGGCCCATAACGTGCTCTGGAATATTGGTTAAACCACTCTCGCTTACTTATTAATTATGGGATGTAATTATTATAAGGAGACAAAGATACGGGCGGTGGGATAGCCTTGTGGTTAAAGCGTTCGCTCATCACGCCAAAGATCCGGGTTCGATTCCCCACATGGGTACAATGTGTGAAGCCAATTTCTGGTGTCCCCCGCCGTGATATTGCTGGAATATTGCTAAAAGCGGCGTTAAACCAAACTCACTCACTCACACACTCACACACTGGAATACTGAACAGCTTAAGAAGCAAATTGTTGAGTAATGGCTGACAAATCAAAATTAAATCTGCTTCCGATTTTCTCAGTAACAGGTCACTGGTCGGTCCGTGTGTAGACTTCAAATGGACCAATGTACACTGGCTGACTGTACACTCGGTATATTCAGGGTTGGGCACCGACAGCTCTGTCAACACCCCCTACACATGGGAGACTAAGCTGTCCCAGGACATGTTACCTCTCCGTGTCAAGCACGCTTCCAGGATTAAATAACATAATTTAAAAGTATTATCTTGAGCAAAGGGATCAAATTATGTAGTGTATTTGTTTGGAAATGATGTATACATATCTTTTTATGACATATGAGCATTTATGTATGGTTGTGTTATTTAACGTTCCTGTTTGAACTAGATTCTGAATAAAATCAATCAAAACTTGCTGTGTGTCGTCATTTTAATCAGACGTCAAACTGGGCTCCTTCCCCAGGGGCGGATACAGCTTTTTGAGAAAGGGGGGGTGTACACTATTGAGAAAAGGGAGGGTGCACGCTTCATTTTCACCCGAGTTTCAATGGTCATTTAATAAAATTTCAGGACAAAAGGGGGGGTGCGCACCCCTGCCGCCCCCCTCTGGATCCGCCTATGTTCCCACCTGAAAAAGTAGAATTGCGGTGGCAGATCATTTGGGCTGTGATTGGTCGATTCAAAACAAGGCATTCATTGGTCCGCGATATCTCATGAAAGGACATCAACATATAGTACCATAAGAACTGTGAAGTGCAACTGGATACCATCAAAATATTTTGGACCAAACCAAAATGTATGTCAGCCTTTTTAAAACTCTATTTCACACTATCTTTGGAAAAGAGCGTCTGTCCTGAGAGCGGGACGTCTGTGGTTCGATCCCCAGGCTGCGTCACATCAAAGGATGTTTAATGTGGTGCTTCTTGCTACCACAGGGGCTTGTAACGCTAAAAACTGCCATCAAGGTATGTACTGTCACTAACGGGGTCTTGGCACTATATAAAAGGAAAGAGATATAACGAGGTCAACACACCAAGTTCGTTTCAGGGCGAATATGACAATGCTCACTGTATCTATCCCATTTAAAGTATGCACACATTTCAAGCCAATAGATTTACCTTCAAAATAAGACATAGAGCAAAAAAATCGAAGCAGTACTTTGGGAGCTTGGGTCTTCGGAAGCTCGAAAAATCGTGATTTCTCGATTCCGAGCCAAAATCCTTGCTCAGAATTTGTAGCGGTAACTCGCCCATTTTCTTGTTTATTTCACAGTATACACAAACGACATGCACCAAAACATGTTGGACTGATGGCACCTGTCAGCGCGCTAGTCGCCATTCTTTCGGAGACACTTACACCTCATTGTCATAATGGGTTTACGTACATCTATATTCATCGCAAACAGAATTTTGTCGTGCCCGTTCGCCATTGACGACTGTCCCGCACTGAAAAGAGTCAGCGATCTGAAGGGACATATTTTATTTATAGCCAATGAGCTCCCTTGTTTAGACCGTCCGTCAGAAATCTAGCCCGTCTCGGGCGGTCGGACGGGCCTTATTTCATACACAGCCATTAAGGCTTTAATTCCTGATACGTTCGACAAGCACAGATCTACAGACCCAGCATGATAATGCGCCCAGCACGGAGTTGCGACTGACACAGACCCACGCCTAGCACGGACTTGCGACCACCATAGACTTACACCTTGCACGATCTTGCGAACAGTATAAACCCAAGCACGGACTTGCGACCAGTATGGGCCTACGAATTTAGTTATTTGATCGATCACTTATAAAGTTAGTACTGTTTTATGCATCTCCTAAACAGTAGTGTTGGGCGTCCGAGACCTGCGCCACTCCGGGTTTCTCTCCCAGTGAGTTCAGACCAACGTGTTTTGTTCAAAGGCGATAAATAAAAACTTACACACTTTGTGTTACTAACACGCCATGCGGTAAATAGGCCTGCACGAGTTACCTCCCATGTTACGAAATTAGAAACAGTCTTTCCCGAACCGTTTCCAGCGAAAATCAGATAATATGTGTCAACACGTATGAATCTTAACTTGACTTAGATTTATAAATATCAACATGCTGCAGTACACTGTTATCTGTCTATCTTGTTCAGTGTCGTGTTCAGGTCACATTTCTGATCATGTGACTGAATTTGATGATCACATGACCACAAACCTCATTTCTGATGGCGGGCGGTGAGAAAGACAAGGAACAGGTACGTAAATATGTATCATGTCAATGATCGTCGTTCACTGTGTTTGACAACTACCGAAAGTGACCTCCTACTCTTTCTGTACATTCACTGTTTCACGCCTGGATTGACCGAAAAAACGTAATGTTTATGAAATCTGTTCTGTACAGCCCGACCACATTACAATGGCTGAGTGGAATGCGTGTATAGAATATCTTCATGCGGTATCTTCAAATACTGATGCGTTGTTATTCGTTCTTATGTTGCAAACGAATGTTTACCGTATGGAGATAAGATACAACAATTGTGCTGTGTAATATCTTAGTAAATGTGACACAAACAGGTACTGTCAAGTCAAAGATGTTTATTGTACAAAAGGCCTCCGGCCCATATACATTGGTGTTATACATATACATTATACATATGGTGCAATAAGTAGTAATTAGTGATCCAGACAGCAAATCATGATACAGGCAGTTAATTATGTACAAGTAGTGAAATACGATGGACTTACAACACATTTTATCAGATTGTTACGTTTAATAAGAGCATAATTGATATAGTACGACAGCTTTATTATTACATGCTGGTCAGTTGATGAAAGAAGTAGTTTAAACGCTAATGTAGGTGGCTTACGTAGATAATATTCAGCTATATATTTCGTACGCAAATCTTTATACAAAGGACATACAAGCAAAAAATGGATTTCATTTTCCACATCTATATTACACAATGGGCACATTCTCTTGCATCGTTCAATATTAAAACGTCTTCCTTCGTTTACCATTATGTTGATCAAATAAATTTACTGAATAAATTTACTTACTGTCATTTAATGTGTATGGGATCTTGAAGGCGTGAGTGAATGCGTGGAGTGGGTGAGATTTAGGGAAACAATATATCGATGCAGCGCTTTAGGAGCTATGGTTTTCGGAAGCTCGAAAAATCGGGCAAAACACAAGTCTGTCTGCGTTGAATATATTTTCGTTAACTCATTTTGGCAGTAAGATGTAAGTGGCTGAGAAAGAAAGACGATTAGCGTGCAGAGAGTTGCCACCGATTCAGCGTGTGTTTAAGCATGTCGTGTGTATGCTATGACATAAACAAGAAATTCGGCAAGTTAGCGGTACACATTCTGATTTTGGCACTAGTTCCTTAAGTACTTCTTCGATGTTTGTGATCTATGTCTCGTTTTGTAGGTAAATATATTCGCTTGAAATGATTGTTTTGAAGTTGTGTATGTGTACACAGTGAGCATTGTTGAATTCGTCCTCAAACGAAACGGTCCATTTTTTTAGTGTAGTGCAGTGACAATAGATACCTTCATGACAGGGTTTTTTGTGTTACAAGTCATTGTAATTTTGATTTTACATCCAAACTGTAAAATAATGAAATAGCTACTGAAAGTTACAACATGTAACATTTTACCAAAATACATGAAGATACGGCATCACGAAACTCTGGTGTGTTCTGTAAACTGAACATTGATTTATCTATTGGACAATAAATCTACATCATCAGTGTAAGAATAATCATTTACAGTTACTAATACATCTATACTGATGTACAAAAGAAAGTACACACCTGGTGTTTTAAGACTATTAAAACAACGTAAATAGTTTGCTAGCAATGTTCCAATTGGGTACTATATCTATGGTGTTACTGCAACACGTACACAATGTTTGTGACTTGTGAGTCGCAATCAAAACACTTTTCTAAATAGTACGCTGTTTTCAGGAAATCATTTTACCAAAGCATCAGATGTGTACTTTCTTTTGTACGACAGTATATACCATCATTGATACATTTATCACTGGACATAGAATAATTTTAAATATGCAAAGAAATCCATGTACCAGTTCTCTGTCTTACGTTTAAATAATGCTTTGCTTTTGAGGTTGATTATGTTATCATTGTCATCGTTAAACATATTGATAACCGCTGTAGGATTGTCGTACAATCCCTGTGAGATTAGGAGCAGGACACGTGTAGATGGTCTACTCCCATTTGTGAGAACTCCCAGTTGTGAGATTCCCAGTTGTGAGACAGTGGAGTAGGTAATTAGCAAAGAAAACACACCTTACTCCCCTATCTGATAGAATGGATTAACCCCAGCTAATTATGGATTAGCTATTTAACTGATCGTTGGTGAGAGCAGCATTTAATTTAGCGTGCGTTATTAATACATCATTCCAATATCATGTCAAGTAGGGTGCCGGGGGGTGGCGAGGAAGTGTTGTAGGGAATGGGGTTCTAGATTTTATCTCATGGTACATGTATTTTTTTAAACTGCTGGCATTCTGTGTTTATGGTTATTTGTATCATAAACAAATTGAATATCAACCTCACTCAGATCTATAAGTATGTAAGACTGACTGACTGAGTTTGGTTTTACGCCGCTTTTAGCAATATTCCAGCAACATCACGGCGGGGGACACAAGAAATGGGCTTCACACATTGTACCCATGTGGGGATTCGAACCCGGGTCTTCGGCGTGACGAGCCAAAGCTTTAACCATTAGGCTACCCCAGCGCCCCCAGTATGTAAGAACATGAATTATGCTGTACGTGTTTGAATGATTCATGATTGTCAATATTGCCGTTGGTTTATTGTCAAAGATAAATCGGACAATAGACGGACAATAAATCATTCCCCGTATTCGTCAGTTTTCGATCGAAAATACGTTATTGGTTTCAACATTGGATGCTTGTGGTAATTACACAGCGGCCAGATGCGGCAAGTGACAAACGGGATGTGAAGGCAGGCTCTACATCAAACCACTTCGTAGTTCTACTCCGTGTGCATGCACTTGATCTTAACATCACTTGCAATTAACATCAGTAATAGAAAGGTTTACCTTTACTTAAAAATTGTCCTAAAACGTGTTCCCTTTTTTCTTTGTTTACTTTGATTGTACGGTTCCACGAGTCGTCCTCAAAGCCCTGCGGAGAGCTGGAGATAGTCAATTTGATGCATATGTATTGTATATTACTATAGAAAACAATATGAGTGAGTGAGTGCGTATGGCTTTACGCCGCTTTTAGCAATATTCAAGCAATATCACGGCGTGGGACGCCAGAAATGGGCTTCACACATTGTACCCTTCACACATGTCGGGAATCGAACCCGGGTCTTCGGCGTGACGAGCGAACGCTTTACCAACTAGGCTACCCCACCGCCCCAGAAAACAATATGAAGAGCACCTACACGTCTCTGTGTTAGGTTAGTCTCTTTTGATTTCAGATTAAGCCCGTTAGTTTACAAACAAGAGAAAAGTAAGATCACGTGGTATGCAAATTAGCTAGTAGCAGTGATATCATCACTGCGACGGAATATTGAAATAAAGTAGATAATAAGGAAATAAAGTAGATAATGCAAATAATAACCCATATGTAACAATATGTATATATCGGAGAGGCAGATATTCGATAGGTTGTAGCAGCGCAGTAACCCCTATTGTGACCTATTGTAACTGTGGGGGCGGTGGGGTAGCCTAATGGTTAAAGCGTTGGCTCGTCACGCCGAAGACCCGGGTTCGAATCCCACATGGGTACAGTGTGTGAAGCCCATTTCTGGTGTCCCCCGCCGTGATGTTGCTGGAATATTGCTCAAAGCGGCGTAAAACCAAACTCAGTCAGTATTGTAACTGTGACATATTGCATATCCCGTGTGGCCATCCTGCCGTCATACCTATGGATTGACGGAATACGGAACGCTGATCTGTTCAATACGTAATACGTGGCCCCTTTTCTGCAAATCCACTGAGTTACCAGAGACACACCTCCCTGGAAACCAAAGCACTGAGACAGTTGATAAATGTATTTTGTTTTAGATTTTGCATACTTAACTCTCTACTAACACCCTACCCCATCCAGATCAGCCTTGCTAAATTAGGCACTGGGTAGCCTAAAGGTTTAAGCGTTCGCTTGTCACGCCGAAGAAAACCAAGGTTTGTTTCCGTAGTACACGGTTTACGAAGCCCTTTCTTGGCGCTGGCAATCGTGATGAAGATGGAATACCATTGAAGCCGTCTTTTTCAGTGTACCTCATTTTCATTTCAACCTTAATGAATTTTCATTGCTAAAAAGACCATATTGCAGGTGGTAACTATTGCCTATTTCGTCATTGACCATCTACAGCTATATACGTTAGTTATATGACTACTGGGACCTTGACCTGGCAGTATGAGGGCCCGCAGTAACTTCTAGTAATGGTGTTACCTGTCAGTGTGAGATGCCAGTCAATCCAGCAGTCCGAGAGGAATGTACTTGGTGGATCAGATCTGTGTTGGAATGTGTGCAGACAGTTAGGTCAGAATGTTATTACCCTTCATGGTTCATAGTGAGACTTCAATGACGTTGATATCATGTGGAAACATGAAAGTTTTACCTGTTGTCTTTTAATCGGTCCACGACTGTCCAGTAAAGGTGAAGGTCGTGACGTCACAGACACCATTATCTCGTATCGGAGGAGCTGACGCGTTTCTATTTTGGTATTTAAAACGATGTCACACTTTACCTACGCTGATATCATTCATTGAGTGTGATAACGGATCTGTTCACCGAAGGTAGGACATACAGACGCCATACTATCAAACAGGCACCATGCTCTCCAGAGACAATCAAACAGGCACCATACTATCCACAGACGTGTCAAACAGGCACCGTGCTCTCCAGAGACAATCAAACAGGCACCATACTATCCACAGACGTGTCAAACAGGCACCGTGCTCTCCAGAGACAATCAAACAGGCACCATACTATCAACGGACGTTTCAAACAGGCAACATGCTATCCAAAAACGTGTCAAAAAGCACCATGCTATCCAAAAACGTGTCAAAAAGCACCATGCTATCCAAAAACGTGTCAAACAGGCACCATGCTATCCAGAGACGTGTCAAACATGCACCATGCTATCCAGAGACGTGTCAAACATGTACCGTGCTATCCAAAAGTATGTCAAAAGGCGCTATGCTGTCCACAATGTGTTGAACAGGCACCGTTCTATCCACAGACGTGTCAAGCAGGCATCATGCTATTCACAGACGAGCCAAACGGACACTTTGTTATCACACAGGCACCGTGCTATCCATGGACGTGTCAAACAGGCACCGTGCTATCCATAGACGTGTCCAACAGGCACCGTGCTATCCACAGACATGACAAACATGCATCGTGCTATCCACAGACGTGCCAAACAGGCTATCCATATCCACAGACGTGTCAAACAGGCACCGTGCTATCCACAGACGTGTCAAACAGGCACCGTGCTATCCACAGACAGGCACCATGGGATCCACACAGGACGTCAAACAGGCACCGTGCTATCCACAGACGTGTCAAACAGGCACCGTGCTATCCACAGACGTGACAAACAGGCACCGTGCTATCCATATGTCAAACAGCTATCCACAGACGTGTCAAACAGGCACCATGCTATCCACAGACGTGTCAAACAGGCACCGTGCTATCCACAGACGTGTCAAACAGGCACCGTGCTATCCACAGACGTGTCAAACAGGCACCGTGCTATCCATAAACGTGTCAAACAGGCACCGTGCTATCCACAGACGTGTCAAACAGGCACCGTGCTATCCACAGACGTGTCAAACAGGCACCATGCTATCCACAGACGTGTCAAACAGGCACCATGCTATCCACAGACATGTCAAACATGCACCATGCTGTCCACAATGTGTTGAACGGGCACCATGCCATCCACAGACGTGTCAAACATGCACCATGTTATCCAGAAACGTGTCAAACATGCACCATGCATTCCAGAGACAATCAAACAGGCACTGTCATATCCACAGATGTATCAAACAGGCACCATGCTCTCCAAAAGCGTGTAGTATAGGACTCCATCCACAGAAGTTTTATTATTTTCACTGTACCGAAATTATATTTCACCCTTTACGATTTTGGCGAGTCTGTCATAGCATATAGTACATATAGAGGGCCCGTGTAGTTCTTATAGTCAGTCCATACAGTTGCCTCATGGGTTGATGGGGATCTGTTCTACCCTGCAATCTTCACGAGGTAATTAAACATATACTGACGGTCAAAAGAAACTTTACACCCATGTTTAATGCTGGTTAAAAGTGAAACAAACAAAATGGTTACTCAGTAGTAATGTATTGGATATCTTATGCTGTTGTTTACACTTTACATTTGCAGAGTTTCTACGACTATGTTCTTGTTCAGATGCAAGTAATAAATGCAGAATCTTTTGCCCATCAGTTTAAATAAAATCATACAATTATCATATTTCATTATTTCCATTACATTAAAAAGCTCATTGATCAGCGGAAATTGGTACAGACAGTACCTGTGTGCAAATATAGATGAGATATGTCTACACATAGAGCGAATGTGACGCTACTGAAGCCTGCCATGCTGAACAATACGACCAGCTGTCCCACGATGACATTCATTATAACGCGTGATTTATTTGTTGAATCTGACATTGTATTCTCACAGTGGTACATAAGGTCGTGAATTATGGCCGACCAGCCGTACTGTATCACCTCAAATACCACACGTTATTTCATCATATTAAACGTATTCGCTTGATTAGACAGATGAAATTATGTTTTGGTGTCGAATGTTTCTTCCATACGGCAGTCGACCGGGATGCGGGCATAAAATCCTTCATGACAATCTGTAGACAGCTCTCTATAAACCGGTCCATCGGTTATGAGTGAGTGAGTTTAGTTTTACGCCGCACTCAGCAATATTCCAGCTCTATGGCGGCGGTCTGCAAATAATCGAGTCTGGACCAGATAATCCAGTGATCAACAACATGAGCATCGATCTGCGCAATTGCGAACCGATGACATGTGTCAACCAAGCCAGTGAGCCTGACCACTCGATCCCGCAAGTCGCCTCTTACAACAAACATGGGTTACTGAATGCCAATATTCTAATCCGGATCTTCACGGGTCCATCGGTCATGATGTTCCAACAATGACGCTTGTCCTTGACAGGACTTGTCACATGAGTGAGGTGACGTCTGGACGTCAGAACGCGATCAGATGCTGATCGGTTGTCAGTTGAATGAAATGTATAATGTATCCATGGCACGTGGTCCTTTATATAGCCCCCAGGTCCGTCTTCAGGTGGGAACCTGACTCCTTGAGTTTCTAGTGCGAGCGTCCTGCCCCGAAAGAACGCAGTGCCTCCTTAGGCTTGTTTGTTTGATATGTTTCCCATATGAAAGTTTGATATGTTCCCCCAGCAGTGAATGGGTACCCGGTAGGATGACTTCAACAAACAACTGTAGGTGTACGTTCCAAGGGCAGCTGAAAAGCGTGTTTACAGTGATCCACTGGTCCGGGAAAATGATGAATCAATATGAGTGGATATGTTCCCCCAGCAGTGAATGGGTACCCGGTAGGATGACTTCAATAAACAACTGTAGGTGTACGTTCCAAGGGCAGCTGAACAGCGTGTTTACAGTGATCCACTGGTCCGGGATAATGATGAATCAATATGAGTGGATATGTTCCCCCAGCAGTGAATGGGTACCCGGTAGGATGACTTCAACAAACAACTGTAGGTGTACGTTCCAAGGGCAGCTGAACAGCGTGTTTACAGTGATCCACTGGTCCGGGATAATGATGAATCAATATGAGTGGATATGTTCCCCCAGCAGTGAATGGGTACCCGGTAGGATGACTTCAACAAACAACTGTAGGTGTACGTTCCAAGGGCAGCTGAACAGCGTGTTTACAGTGATCCACTGGTCCGGGATAATGATGAATCAATATGAGTGGATATGTTCCCCCAGCAGTGAATGGGTACCCGGTAGGATGACTTCAACAAACAACTGTAGGTGTACGTTCCAAGGGCAGCTGAACAGCGTGTTTACAGTGATCCACTGGGTCCGGGATAATGATGAATCAAATATGAGTGGATATGTTCCCCCAGCAGTGAATGGGTACCCGGTAGGATGACTTCAACAAGCAACTGTAGGTGTACGTTCCAAGGGCAGCTGAACAGCGTGTTTACAGTGATCCACTGGTCCGGGATAATGATGAATCAATATGAGTGGATATGTTCCCCCAGCAGTGAATGGGTACCCGGTAGGATGACTTCAACAAACAACTGTAGGTGTACGTTCCAAGGGCAGCTGAACAGCGTGTTTACAGTGATCCACTGGTCCGGGATAATGATGAATCAATATGAGTGGATTTGGTGCACTATTAATGTGCACATTTCTATCTGCTGTCATGGTCGTCAGTGCATTTCTTTCCTTTACGATAATTTAACTTCAGATTTTTATGGTACACGCATTAATCAGTTGTCAGCGGTGTCATGGTTAAGTGTTGTCAGTTATATAGTTGATGTTGTGAATAAATCGTGTTGACATATCGCTCGAAAAAAAGGACGATAAACACTCAGGGGGAAATGACGCTTAACGTCTGGGGTTAAATGGTGTTCATACGGTTTGGAAATAAGGTGCTCGACGCTCGGTCAAAACACTACCAGGCACACGGAAAATGAAATAAGTTGGCATCCCTTCCGTTTGTCCGACTCGTCCGTTTGGGACACGTGGTGCGCCTAGTGGCTGCATGCAAGAGTTGTATGATCCCCAGGGAGTTGAGATTGATGATACGATGTGTCGTTTGAGTTTGACATGCAATGAACGAGAGAAAATCAAAGCGCCCTAGAGCAGCTGAGCTGAATATTGGTGCTATACAAATGTTAGTATAATAAGAACAACGTGGTATTGGATTTTTTTTCATTTGTTTGTTGGTAGGCCTGAATATACCTCTACTGACAAGACATTTCGCATGATGATGAAGACCTGTCACAGATACATGTGTTCAAAGCTTACCCCAAGCAACCCCTTGTCGTTATGTCCGCTGTTGTCATTTTCAGGGTGACCGGCCCCACTTCTCCTCGAAGCTGGGCCTCGTGTGCTCATGCCTGGGGTGCATGGTGGGTACGGGCAACATCTGGAGGTTCCCCCGGATAGTAGCCACCAACAGCCGAGATGAGGGTGAGTAGGCGATGTCGTGTACGTCAGCATACATACACTACATCATACAACCACGACTTGAATACAACTTTGTACCGGAGTGACATCTTTACACGTATCAACGGCAACTATGTGAAAATACATACCACAGAAATTATCTCAGGGAAAGGATGGTCAAGTGGTCTTAGGCAACGCATTTTTCTGTGCAAAGTTCCGTTCCGCTTCCGGTAGACATATAGGACTCAGTTGTCGTGGTTTCGAATCCTTCTATCAATGATACCTGGTTTGTCAGCTCCATGCCCTATCGTCTGCTTCATGGAAGCTGGGCAGTGGAGTAGCCAAGTGGTGAAAAGTTTGCCCTTCACTTCGCCCACCCGCACCGTTTCACAGGGCCCGTTTCACAAAGCTATCGTAGCGCTCGTCACGACTGCCGTAAGTCTTTGTTTCTGGTCACTGATAGGAATATTGCTACGACAGTGGTAGCGCTACGATAGCTTCGTGAAACGGGGCCTGCTCTCCGCCGGTGTTATATGTCTGGAATATTGCTAAAGGTAGCGCAAAACCAGACTCACGGACTCACTTAATGCTAGGGTTAACACGTGTTCCCGGCGGCCACGGCAGCCCGAAACGAGGACAAAACGGGATGGACGTGAAACAACGTTGGGGGACTGAATGAGCAAACGTGACAGTCCGTGATTGCCGTAGATGCAGTGCCAGATTTTTAAACTGTTCAAAAATTTGCCACGGCAGCCACGGTACGAATGAGAAACCTGGGGCCGTTGTAAAACGCAACAAAACGTCACAGCACGTAATAGGCCGTAACAAAACTCCGTATTGGGTCCGTAGTGGGGGAGTGTGCATGTGTATTTCCCGGTATCTCACGGTCCTTCAAGTTTTGTCACGTTCGGACACGTTTGTTTGACGTTTTGTCGCGGTTGTTTCACCCTTGCTGTCTGTTTTGTCCCGGTTTTCACGGCAAGCTTGGTTCCATGATAGCCGATTTGTCCCGTTCTATCACGACGCATCCAGGGCAGGCGAGATACGGCACGCTGCGTTCTCTGGCATTCCCTCTCTTCAGCTGATGATCGCCTTCTTGCTGACGCAAGGACTCGATGTATGCCCCCAGCAAACATACAAACACAAAATCTTCTTCATCTTTGGGATTTTATACTGCTCTAGTGTCTCAGGATACAATGGCTGCTATTGCTTGAGGCCTTATTTTACACCGTGGGCACAAACGTGGTCCAAAGCTGGCCGGCGTCCACGTTTCATCCGTAGAAAGTCTTAACAGAACGTGCAGAACGTGTCAAAACTTTGATCAAAACGTGAGAAACGTGATGTAACCCATCAGAACGCGACAGGCCGGGAGGAAACGTAATGGCATCCGTAGTGGACTGCGGGCCGAACCGTAGTGCGCTTTTGAGCTTCCGGGACACAGCAGCCCGTTTTTTCCCAACGGCCCATCACGGATACCGTGAGAAAACTTAGCAGGACCTAACAAAACTTGACTTTGGAGGGAAAATGGCCAAAATCCCACGGCGGACTACGTTTCGGGGATACGGGGCTGCCGTGGCCGTCGGGGACATAGTGAAACCCTAGCATTATGGATTAAACGTCTGAGATCTATATACATATTAACCTTCCCGGCCCTTCATGCTGATGAACCGTGTAATACCAAACTAACTGACAACCCCTAAGATCATTTCGTTCAACCGAGAAATAGCACTGCATGGCGCCAGTCATTGCGTCAACCTGTAATAACCGCTGTGTCTTGTCTTCCAGGAGGTCTTGTGTTCCTCATTGTCTGGTTCTTCTTCCTCTTGTTCTGGTCAATACCGATGCTTCTGATCGAATACGGTTCGGGCCGATACACCCAGAAGGCGGTCGTTGGCTCGTTCCGCCAGTTCGTTGGGGACAAGGCGGCCTGGTGTGGAGCCTGGATTACCTTGGTTTCATTCATGATCTCGTAAGATAACAAATCCTTTTTCCTGTTTTTTATCTGATAGAACATAGAATTGTTTGATCTAGGGGTTGGTGGGTCAAAAATGAAACATACAACTTTATGGATGAACAACTTCTTGTTTATTGCATTAAGCGACGTTTCGACGTGGATTCTAACATCGTTATCAACCTAAACATGACGGCAACCAAATGGTGAGAAGCATAAACATGGTGTGTTATGACAAGCAGCAGATTAACATCAACAAAAGCAGGTGAATAGCAAGTGGTACATAATGGGTAGAGGCTGGGGACTAAGAACAACAAACAACACTAGTGATGAAGCCATTGAGTAGTAACAACAAGTAGATATGATGCTTTGATAGAATCTATAGTTTGATTACAAAGTTTAACCGAAACATGAGTCTCATTAACCAATTCAGACAATGACCTACTTTTCAGCTGATCCGAATTTTCTCGTGTGAAAATGAAAAGAGACACTACAAACAACTATGGTGACACTGAATTCCAATTCCTTTTTTTCATAAGAAAATGGTATTTACAAATGAATTTCAATTTTAAACTTTAATAAAATCGTATTTCTATATTTTATGGCGAGGTGTAGGCAGCATGACCTTAACTAAGACGTCACAGACTGCCCCTGTTTGATGAGGTCGTAAAATTATTCGTAATTCATCTGGCTCACTGGTTACACCTGTTATGTGTTTTTTGCATTTGTTAACTGTATTTTTTGTAACGCACAATGTGATTGATATAATATCAAGTCCGTACCAGACCGCCAAACCTTTCTAGCGGCGGAGCCTCGTTTTGAGGTTTCCACGATTTCCATATTTCCGTTTGTCAGAGCACACTGTACAGCAGTCACGTTGCACGGCGTGCTTGCAAGGATTAGAAGGAGCGTAGTGTTGCAATATACGAGTGCTTAGATGTATCAAATAATGCTGATTAACATTCATGTATCCAGTTGAGCCCCATCCGGTATTCGAACCCACACCCTCAGAGTCAGGCACCTAATCGCCAGCACACAAAGTCAGCCGCCTAACACGCTCAGCCACCGCGACTTCCACAAAAAAGGAAGTCGGACAACTGGTAGTCAAGACTGCGGACTTTGTGTACCCCTCTGATAAGTGTTAATTGGCACGGCTCCCACGGCCGAAAGCGATTGTGTGCTGGCGATTAGGTGCCTGACTCTGAGGGTTAGGGTTCGAATCCCAGAGGGAGTTCCACTAAAAAAATACTAGAATTGGTACTTTACTAAGAAAATGTAATCCCAAATATAACATATATTAGATAGAACATCTTACGAAAACACTGATTTTTTTGTGTTTATTGTAAATTGGGCACTAACGCTTGGTGTCGGCATATCTCTTACTGAAAACACATTTGGTATTCACAGACCTAAGACCAAACCTTCCTGACCATGCCATAAAGGAATTCGTGCAACTCGAAGACAGAAATGTTCTTCCGAATTCTTATGGCTTAATGAATTGCAAAATACCCTTAATCAATAATATGTGCTTTATGAAATGAATTACATCCGACTTGCTGGCATTCTCGAGTATCAATGTCACTATATTTCCATTCTGTTAATCAATTACCTAGGATCCTGTCGCATTGCCAGAGAATTTCTTTTGGGCCCAATCTAAATTACCAGACGCTATAAATGGTTGTGATTTTACACTCATAAACGCGATATATTCTTAGTTAGCGATAAGAGATATTATAATGATGACGTCACATCCGCATGAAACCACTGATGGCGAACGGCTCCTAGGTAGTTATCATAATATACAATACCCTGCATCCTCGAGGATGATAAATTGTATTCCCAGATGCTACTACTCCGTGATTCTGGGGTGGTGCTTCTACTACTTCATCTACTGCATCGCCTACGACCTGCCAGCCAATGAGGACGAGTCCAAGGAAATCTTCACCGACTTTGCGGAGGTAATGGCGTTCGACCGACCTTCTATTACCGTATTCCTTCTTAAAACATTTCCTGAGATTCGAGAAGCTTTATTGTGCGTGTCGAACGATGTATTATGGCAGAAGTACTGCTAAATGCAGCATAGACCCCATACACTCACTGCTGCACAGACGTTTATATTTCATGTGAGTGAGTTTAGTTTTACGCCGATGTTAGCAATATTCCAGCAATATCACGTCGGGGGACACCAGAAATGGGCTTCACACATTGTACCCATTCGGGGAATCGAAACCCAGGTCTTCAGCGTGATGAGCGAACGCTTTAACCACTAGGCTACCCCACCGCCCTTATATTACATGTGATCACCCATGTACAATGTTTACATCGATAGTGAAAGGAACAATGACGTGTTTGTTTAACGGTACCGTTTGCAATGACAAATGTTCCACTTTTCTGCATATGGCATGTATGAGTTGAAGGACGGATATTGTTGTCATCCTGTGATTAAAGAAACTAGTATTTCTTTACCGGAATCTGTTTGTGAAAATAGGTCTCAACTATTGTTGACGTAAAGGACGACTAATTGTCAGGCTAGGTATAGTCTAGTTCCTTGGCCTTTTGCACGACATTGTACCTCGACGGAAGGGAGCATTGATCACCATATCAATCACACACTGGTTTGTCTGGTCCAGACTCGATTACCTACAGGTTGCCATCATACAGCTGGAGTGAGTGAGTGAGTTCAGTTTTACGCCGCTTTTAACAATATTCCAGCTATATCACGGCGGGGGACACCAGAAATGGGCTTCACACATTGTACCCATGTGGGGATTTGAACCCGGGTCTTGACGAGCGAACGCTTTAACCATTAGGCTACCCCAACGCCCACATACAGCTGGAATATTCTTTCCTTGACCCACACGGTTCGGTCCGATTATCTTTCTGTGAATGACTGAGTATGGTTTTACGCATCTTGTAGCAATATTCGAGGAGTATCACTGCTGGGAACACCATTAATTGGCTTCACACATTGTACCCATATGGGAAATCGAACCCGGACCTTCGGCGTGACGAGCGAACGCTTTAACCACTAGGCTACACCACTGCCACTTTTCTTTTATGATTGTCAACATTTGCTCTAAACACCATGATGTAACTGGAATGCCTCAAAGCGGAGTTGAACCCAAGTCACTCTTTCATTCAATAACTCACTCACTCACTCCTTTCTACACACAGAACAGCGCCTGGCCGGTACTAACACACGCCATGGCCATCATCATTGCTGGTCTGTCCGTGGTGAAAGGGGTCAAGACTATAGAGAAGGTCAACATGTTCCTCGTCCCCGTGTTGTTGCTCATCCTGCTGTTCACGTTCGTGTGGTCACTGACACGGGAGTACGCGGATCTCGGTATCAAATACCTCTTCACACCAAACTGGGGTAAGATCATATATACTCCCCATCATAAGTTTAGACTCACTAGTGTAAATGTAGCCACTTACTTCAATCAACTAAACTAGATTTTGCAAAATTGTCCATACTGTTTAAAGGCCCTCTTTACACATGAACTGATGTATTGTAAAACAAATTCGTCACGTTGAAAAGATTATTGTCATGGGTTAAAAAAATGACGAAACTGAGTTAAAAGTGACGAGTTTTACACATCTATACACATGCACGATATTTTGCACATGCTTTTTAGCAATTTAATTCATGATCCTCGTGCAATTCATCTGCATAAAGTTTGCAGTTGGTTCCCCAAAGTTAGTGGAGAACCACACATATATGCCTAACATATAGTGAGTGCTTTAAGTGAGTCTAAACTTTTGATGGGTAGTATATATTCAGATATTGGCGGAAATCCTTATGCTTGCGTGAAGTCACTTTTGCCAAACACGGTCTTCTGTGTATTCCTTGGAGTAGTTGTTGCATCCTTCATGAGAAGGAACCGTTTGTACATCTGGCCATTTTGTTGGTCGAACCAGAAAACGGTTTGTTGCCTTAAAGAAACTACTCCTTTATTTTTTATCTAACTAGTCATTGTTTCATCTGCCGGATGAAGTGGTGTTCCGATTAATTGAAATAATCGAAGATTGGTCGCATTGGTCAAACGACCAAGCAATCGATCACATTTTCTCATAATCGAACACAAACGATTTTGGAACTACCGTTGCAGTCTTTGAAACACTTGATGGAACATATCTTCGAAGTTGTCAGGCCCAGAAAACGTGTTTAATTCTTAGAAATCTCACTTCACTGACTGAAAAGTCATGACTGAATATTTCTTGAAGACTCCTGAAAGTTTATGTTCATGGTATATTAGTCATCACTTTCAAGTAGCAAATTGCATCATGTTAAACTTATCTGCTATAACAACCTGAATAAGAAAATCTGAAAAAATGACGTTAACCAAATATTTTCGATGATTGCTCGTTGGTGACGAAGCAATCATCAATTGTGAGATTTCAACCAATTCCCAACACTAGTATCTACCCCTAACTGAATCTTGAAAAAAGTTTTGCCTCCTCAGCAATACAAACTTATGAGAGTTTTTGGCATCTGTCCATCCACCGAGAAGAGCTATATTAGAATAATTGCAAATTGACCAGCATTCCAACAGCCAGATCGTCACGATATGGCTGCAATATTGCCGATGTGACGTTAAATACTAACTCACTCACTCACTCCAACAGCCAGATCCAGAGGCCAAACACAGGTAAATATTTCTATATACTGTATTAACTTGGTATATGTTCTCCATACGTCAGAATCCTTTGGCGATCCCCGGGTGTGGGTGGACGCCCTTAGCCAGAACGCCTTCGACACCGGAGCGGGGTCGGGGCTGATGATCCCATACTCCTCGTACATGACCAGGGAGAACGGCATCGTCCGATACGGCTCTCTCATCCCCTCCTGCAACAACCTCGTCAGGTATGAAAGGAATGGTAGAGTTTGGTCGTTAGACTTCCTTTGACCTCTTCAGCGCTGTCAACAATATCTGAATCTACAGGAGTCAGTTATCCGGCGTGTAACACGTCAGTAGGCGTGGCCGAATAAAATATGGGCGATAGATTTTCGTATTATACAATGTATGGAATAATGTAAGGGGCGTTCTCGCATTAATCAATTGACCTTTGAAACAAGAGCAAAAGTACGAAAATGGGAGATTTGGCGATATTCTTGCATCCCCGTGTTTTTCTTAAATAGTACTTTGTATGATTGTAAACACAAAAATCTTGTGTTATCTCTTGGTTCTGTCTCATTGTTACTTAAGTAGTCGGAATGAAATCATACACTGCTTTAATCAGTATTCACATATCTCACGGCGCCTAACCTTAAGTGAGTGAGTGAGTTTAGTTTTACGCCGCACTCAGCAATATTCCAGCTATATGGCGGCGGTCTGTAAATAATCGAGTCTGGACCAGACAATCCAGTGATCAACAGCATGAGCATCGATGTGCGCAATTGGGAACCGATGACGTGTGTCAACCAAGTCAGCGAGCCTGACCACCCGATCCCGTTAGTCGCCTCTTACGACAAGCATGGGTTATTGAAGATCAATATTCTAACCCGGACCTTTACAGGTCCTAACCTTAAAGACCAAAGCATATGGTCCTTTGATGATGTTTTCCAACGCCTTAAACCACTGAGCCTCCCATGTACTCACCAATGGAAGCAAATAATAAACATAAGCTGCACAGTTTTTCTGGTATGTTACCCATGAAGATCCGGATTAGAATTGATCTTCAGTAACCCACGCTTGTCGTAAGAGGCGACTAACGGGATCGGGTGGTCAGGCTCGCTGACTGGGTTGACACGTGTCGTATCCCAATCCCAATCACTGGATTGTCTGGTACAGACCGCTGGAATATTGCTGAGTGTTACGTAAAACTAAACTCACTCACTCTGGTATGTAATTAGTACTATGTCAGTGTAAGAAACTGACATTTCAAATCAAAGCTGAACCAAACTCATTCTGTTTTATTCAGCCTGATCTCTGGGATCACTGTGTTCTCCACCGTGTTCGCCACCATCGTCGTCACTAAGCCGTCCCTGACACAGCCCCAAATAGTGGCCATCATCAAGGACAGTGGACCTGGAAGTACTGGACTTACCTTTATCTGGTCAGTGAACAGTTTTCTTGTGTCGCTAATATCAGCGTTACGAAATACCTGCCTGCCCGACCGCCCGGGACGGGTTATTTTCAACACGGACTGCCAGATTCTCAAATTCACCTGCCCGACGGTCGGGTTAAAATTTAGACATGTATATAAGATATTCATAATATTTCAGGATAATAAATCATTATTAATTCACTCGTAAAAGTAAATGATGAATTCCAATTGGATGATGAACTACGTCGCTTGTCAAACCTAAATCATTTGCTGGCAGGTAAGGTTTGGTCAGGGCTGGCAAGTTTAACATCTAACCAGCCCTGTGGTCTGGCTGAAATTTTTGGGAGGTTCATACCCTGCTAATATGTTGTCAAAATTATTTTAGGTCACGTGGTATGACATACTACCAGTTTCGATTATCCGGTGTGTGAGATCACCTTTCTGTTATGGAAAACACCCTGGACCTATTCGATCAACAATAAAACCAACAATAAAATTTGCTTACATCGGATCAGTAACTTGTTTCCAATCATAAGTCTCGATATAGAGAATGATATTCCCATGTAAGTTTGCCATGGTTTGTTTTCTCCCAAACATGTGATAGTTTTACTATCCTATGTTTTACTATTCACTGCCCTTTGTATTATATAATAATGAATTTGTTGTCATCTTTACATACTAACATGTTCACGATGCGAAGAAAAATTCGAGCTCACTCTACCAGATCCATTTGTTGCCATAGCTTGCGTTTCTGTAGTGACGTCACCCTTACCATGCATCCTGCAGTTCCCAAGGACTCGCACATGAGTGAGTGAGTGAGTGAGTTGGGTTTTGCGCAGCTTTCAGAAATATCACGGCGTGGGACACCAGAATTGGGCTTCACACATTGTACCCATGTGGGTAATCGAACCCGGGTCTTCGGCGTGACGAGCGAACGCTTTAACCACTGGGCTACCCCACCGCCCCGACTCACACGAAACACTGATTTGATGGGATGACTAAAGTACTGTCGGAAATGCTAGAAAAATGCTTTTTAGCCTTAATATCTTTATAAAGGTGATACATTTACTATGTTGTCAATATATCAACTCGTCTATTGTCTACCTAATTTTTATTTCAACCGATTTAACATTCCCATGCATTTAAAGGGCAGTTTACAGGAGAGAATTTGGTACCAAAACAGCAACTTAAGATTTTTTCAGAGTTCAACAACAGAAATCTGAAATAGTCTTTACATTTATGCTAATAATACAGGTGGTGTAAAAATATGAATTAACGTTTTTCCTAAACAAATAAATGTTGAATGTTTGTGTTACTTTACTTAATTATCGTTTCTTTATTGAAGAAATATTAATATAAATGTTAAGTCTTGATAAATAAGTTTCCCGTCATGCATGCACATCTTTATCACAGCGTCCACTATGGCCAACGATTTGCAGTCAATTGTTGTAAAGGTTTATAGTTTTTTTCTGCTTAAAAAAGACAGAGGTAAACCTTTCATTAGTTTAGAAAGGGTTTATTACAGAACTTGTAGAGCTGTTGGCATGTCTTACCAACAAGTTTACAATATTGTAAACAAATCAGACAAGAGAGGGACCGTCTCAAATGCAAAACCGGGACGTAAAACCATCCTTGACAACTTTGACAAGGGAGTGCTTAGACGGGCGGTCTACAAACTTTATGAGAAGAAAAATATATATATTCTAAAGAAGCTACACCAGTGACTTCGTTAAATCTTTGGCCAATGTTCACAACTAGATGAAACTGACCGAATTATATCCATATTTTTTCAATGAAATATACTGTTGACATGCAAAACATTTATTAAAACGTTGCACATTTCTACAATCAATCGATAAGATAACACAAGTGATGGGATTCTTTCCAGTGTACAGTAATTCGTATGTTTATTTCAAAACAAATACACATACACAAATGATCCCTTACATAACTAATACGTATACTATACGTACACATATTCAACATTTTGCAGAAAACATATATTGAGATGACCCTCCCCCGAGCGTGTGCTCAGATGTCAATTTCACCTGTCGACACCGCGCATGCTGATGACGTAACACAGGCAGTTAATGTTTGTATCAAATAACGTCCCTCTACCCCTTATAAGTTTTGGTATTTTCATCAGTAAAATCACATTTTAGAGCATGTCTCAAAATTTATTCCCTCGGTCTACATTAGGTAGATGTTTCTTGAAGTGATATTTGTTATTGAAGTAACTGTAATACCTCTGAATTTTAAATAACAGTCAAAAGCAGTTTTCTAGCATTTCCGACAGTACTTTAATCTCTTTTGTATGTTTCAAAATCTCACTCTACTATGGCAAATGGTGTTTGTTAAAATATACCGTCTGCTTCCCATTCAGTTTTCTGAACTGCCCATACCACGGCAATCAAACTAGATATACTGATTGGTAGTAATAGGGACGGTGGGGTAGCCTAAGACCCGGGTTCGATTTCCCACATGGGTACAATGTGTGAAGCCCATTTCTGGTGTATTGCTACAAGCGGCGTAAAACCATACTCACTCACTGCTAGTAATATATCACTAATTGGTATTTGTAAACCTAATGATTGTTACGTTTTTATTTCTTGTTGTGTATATACTGAATTGTTGTATTCTCACCCCCTATATCTGTAGGATCCCAGTTCTCTTCTCCTCGGTGGGGGTGTTCGGCCGGGTACTCTCCGTCCTCTTCTTCCTGACTCTCTCCTTCGCCGGAGTTACCTCGCTTATATCGAACATCGAGCTGTTTACACACACTCTGCAAGACTTCGGATGTAAGTTCAAGTATCAGTTATATTGAGAGTGGTATATCATACTTGGAATAATCTTTTACACACAAGGAGGAAATAATGCATCTCACGAGGAACTAACATTTCAAAATCATGTGCAGTTTACTGGATATGTTTACTTTTCTTTCATCGTATTCGACAGAAGCGTTATTTATTTGACAAAAATGACATTTCAATCGAACAATTGTCAGGACTGTTTACGTTGTTTGGTAACACCTTTGGCGTCACCTACGTCGACGCCAGAGAAGAAACAGTTTCAAGTATCTGCTGAGACAGATTCACCTGCATAAAATGTAAAATAGAGGCGTATCAATAGATCACTGAAAAGCAATGATGACGCTAGGTGCTCTAGACAAGAGTAAGTATGTGCCGCCATACCGGTAGTACACACTGACGTGCCAGTTACAAACGCCACAAGGGGCGGTGGGGTAGCCTAGTGGTTAAAGCGTTCGCTCGACACGCCGAAAGCCCGGCTTTGATTCCCCACATGGGTAAAATGTGTGAAGCCCATTTCTGGTGTCCCCAACCGTTATCTTGCTGGAATATTGCTAAAAGCGGCCTCAAACTAAAACTAAAACTCACTCACTCACTACAAACGGCACATAGAAAGTTCCTGTCGTACAACGGCCGAGTCTACACTAGACAGTCAAGTGATAGTGGACCAGACAATGTAGGAATTCAACAGCGTTTCAACTGTTCCTGCTGAAACGGTAGACCTGCCAGCATTTAACCACAAGTGCAGAGATTCTGCTGTTTTAAAGCAAAGAAAAACAACCAAGAAATATGCTCGTTCTTTGGGCAGTGTTATTCTCTCGACATCTTACCGTTAGCTGATCTGGATGTGTGTTTCCAGTACCAAGACGGTACGGAACCCCGTTGACCGTGGCTGTGACGTTCCTTATTGGTCTGATGTCTGCGCTGAACTTGGACATTCTAACAAACCAGGTAACTACGAGGAGTTTCGTAACTGTCAACAGCTTCATGTCCACAACTGGGGCGGTGGGGTAGGCTAGTGGTTAAAGTGTTCGCTCGTCACGCCTAAGACGCGGGTTCGATTCCCCACATGGGTACAATTTGTGAAGCCCATTTCTGGTGTCCCCCACCATTATATTGCTGGAATATTGCTAAAAGCGGCGTAAAACCAAATTCACACACTCATGCCCTCAATTTGCTATAGATGTAATAAATAACGGTGACAAAGAATATTTCCTTAATCCGAGGAAATATATGCTAACCATTTCGATTTATGATTCCGACTTTATCCCAAACATGTGTTTCTGAAGCACTATCAGTGATGACACCAGGTGTTCACGAACACATGTCAAATCAAATCAAACATCACGATGCGTCAGATTTAAATGCACTCCACATGTCTACCACTTTAGAGCTTTCGGGTATCATTACTGAGACCTTAGATGTTGTAACTGAAAGCTCTGAACATTTTAGCGTGAATCCAATGATGTGTTGTTTTGTTGTTGTTTTTTGACGTTTTCGAAGAAAAGGGTAGTTCAACTGGAACCTTAACAGTGAAGTGTGGATCTACTGGAATATTGCTCAGCATGAAGGGGGCCATCCTTTATATATCCAGGACTACTGTTTGGTAAACCTGCCCTAACCCATGGATCCATTCCCGTGGTTCTCACATTCTCAAATTGTCTTTTCCTTGCAGGATTTTGTGTGGGGCTTTGCTCTTGTCATCAACGGCCTGATGCTTCAAGTCATGGTCATCGTGTATGGCGTGAAGAGGTTCCGACAAGAGGTCGTCAACAACTTCGGCGTGGGGGACTGGAAACTACCTTGTCTCTGGGACTGGATAGTGAAGTGAGCGGTAGATAGTAGATAGTATTGTTTGTACTTAGTTGGGTACTATCTTGTTCATTCAGTAGTCTCTGGGACTGGATAGTGAAGTGAGCGGTAGATAGTAGATAGTATTGTTTGTACTTGGAGTAGTGGGAGACAACCCTGTACCTTCAGTTGTATCTCACCGCTGACTGGATAGCGAAGCGAGCAGTAGATAGTAGATAGTATTGTGTGAACTTAGAGAAGTAGGGTACTTCCTTGTCTTTGGTGCTGGATAATCATCAGTTCAGCTGCAGATTTGTTTGTGTGTTTGTTCTTAATTTGTTTGTTTTGGAAGATTGTTTAGACTGGTTAGCGCACTGGCTCATCACAGAAAAGCAACATATGTTTACTCTCTCAAACAGGGCTAAAGAGTTTTAATTCTGTCTGCAGGGTTGTTGCCCCGCTGGAGGGATCTGTGTTGATCGTGTGGTGGGCAATAGACCTCATCTCCAACACCAGTGGAGATGGCGAGAAGTGGTACGAGTTCGGGAGAGAGACTTTCATGGTCACAATAGTACAGGTATGTAACTGGACAATGCACGTGGGTTTTGTTGGAGTATGCGAGTTGCAGGCAAACTCAAATTAAATCGTGGTAGTCATCGCTCTAGACATAACAACTGGCCGTTGGTAAAGATAACATTGGAGCGTTACTTGAGATAACACGTGCAGCTGAGGATAGCATGCCATCAGTGACTTGGTGTTCTGGTCGATGTTCAGTTAAGTACCGACAGCCTTGATGACAGTGCTATATGTGGTTATAAACAACGTACCCTCACTCTCTGGAACGTCCGGCGTACAAACAGTAGTTAGAACAGGTATCTTCAGCACACTGGGGATGGTCTGCCTGTCGACCACAAGTAAACATACCAGATAACTTACTGTCATGGGGCAGCTTGTATGTGCAGTCATCTACAGGCTATGGGATGGTTTCAGTACATTTTTCGCTGATTTTATGCGACCATATTACTGTCACCACTATTTTCCCGATAACACCCAGTTTAAAATGTTTTGTCAAATGATCGATCCTGGTTATTCCCTGGCAGTGCCGTGTGCTATTCACAAAGACCTACCACATAAACAGCAGTTTAGGAGCCTGGTCTTGAGTAATTTATTGTTTTTCTGAGGCGTTTTAGGGGTGGTTGGGTAGCCTAGTGGTTAAAGCGTTCGCTTGTCACGCCGAATACCCGGGTTTGATTCCCCACGTGGGTACAATGTGTGAAGTCCATTTCTGGTGTCCCTCGCTGTGACGCCTTTTCACTTTTATGTATGTAAACTTTCTAAATCACTCATCGCCTTTACGTTTACAATGACACACAACACAAGAGGAGATATGCATTACAAAGTTTATTTACATAAGTTACACAATATATATTTGGAGTGGGGGATTCTCTTGCTGGATATATAGCATGTACTTAGAGTATGACATTCATATACGTAGAGGGAACCCTGTCGAGCCCAACAAGGCATTAGAGCCTGTTTGAGGGTTGCTCGACAGGCTTCTTGTAATATAAGTGGAGTACATGTAATTAGAGTGTTACATGACTATAGTTGTTGTATAGAAGGCTGTAAGCAAGTAGGGGGTAGCTAGCCTCCCTATTGCTCCCACTAGCAGGGATGCCTGGGTTGGATACCTTAGCAAGAGGTATATAGTACTTATAGATTTGGGGAAAGATAATCCGCCTGAATGAGCGGATAACTTCCATATCAAATGATGAATTATGCAGAAAGTTAAGGAGTCTGGTCTTGAGTAATTTACTGTTTTTCTGAGGCGTTTTAGGGGTGGTTGGGTAGCCTAGTGGTTAAAGCGTTCGCTTGTCACGCCGAATACCCGGGTTTGATTCCCCACGTGGGTACAATGTGTGAAGTCCGTTTCTGTTGTCCCCCGCTGTGAGGCCTTTTCACTTATATGTATGTAAACTTCCTAAATCACTCACCGCCTTTACGGTTTTGTATGAATCTATAATGAATAATATGTAGTAGACATTTCACCTTAAATGTAAACTTATTTTGTGAGTTTATGGGATCGTGATAGAAATGTGTATGGAATTGGTTTATCGTATGGATAACACAATCCCAATGAACACAAATTCATACTCGATATATCCTTAACACGAACCATAATATTTCCATTCATTTTCAGTGGCTTGGCCTCATGGCTTTGACAATTGTGTGCAATGTGTTGGCCATAGTGTGTGTGTGTATCGAGATGGTCGAAAAGCTCCACCTTCATGGTCATCGAGGAGCAGAGTCATCTACAACCGCTGACAGCCGCTGAGCCAGACTATGGTTCCGTGGGGAAGAAAGATATGCAATTCTCACAGCCCACTCACCGGGAAATCAAGATGTGACGAAGGCCCTTCATAATCTTTTATAATTAACTTGCATCCATGCATTGTGTGTGCTGGACCCCGGTCTATACAGAGACCCTAACGCTACGATTGTTGTAAATTAATGTGAAAGTCTGACAGTCGGGTTTGGGTTATCTTGGAGCTAAGATCGCTTTGTGGAGCGGGGCCCGCCCATCTTTGTGCAATAGATTTGACAGGGCAGTGCAATACAACCCATGGACATAAACAGGTGTTGCGGGTGTTGCACGTGTTGATACATATGTGGTACATTGTTTTTTGTTATTGAAACCGTTATATAACGGTATATCCACAAGAAACGACGTGCACTGTAGTAAACTCCTGTTATGGAGCATTCGAACAAACTGTCATTCCTAGAAAGTTATGCGGGGGTGACATTTTCTCCCGAATATGCCCTCAAGCTCCCTTGACAATTCCATCAAATTTTTGCCAAGCATCAAACCTATTTCAAGTTTACCATTCCATGTTGAAATGTGAATGTATTTAATCACCTGCGTTCCTTGGCAAAAAGAACGCTGGCTCAAGGAGAAGTACTCTGTTTTTAGGGGTGGTGGGGTATCCTAGTGGTTAAAGCGTTCGCTTGTCGCCGAATACCCGGTTTGATTCCCCGTGGGTACAATGTGTGAAGTCCATTTCTGTTATCTCCCGCTGTGAGGCCTTTTCACTTTTATGTATGTAAACTTCCTAAATCACTCACCGCCTTTACGGTTTTGTATGAATCTATAATGAATAATATGTAGTAGACATTTCACCTTAAATGTAAACTTATTTTGTGAGTTTATGGGATCGTGATAGAAATGTGTATGGAATTGGTTTATCGTATGGATAACACAATCCCAATGAACACAAATTCATACTCGATATATCCTTAACACGAACCATAATATTTCCATTCATTTTCAGTGGCTTGGCCTCATGGCTTTGACAATTGTGTGCAATGTGTTGGCCATAGTGTGTGTATCGAGATGGTCGAAAAGCTCCACCTTCATGGTCATCGAGGAGCAGAGTCATCTACAACCGCTGACAGCCGCTGAGCCAGACTATGGTTCCGTGGGGAAGAAAGATATGCAATTCTCACAGCCCACTCACCGGGAAATCAAGATGTGACGAAGGCCCTTCATAATCTTTTATAATTAACTTGCATCCATGCATTGTGTGTGCTGGACCCCGGTCTATACAGAGACCCTAACGCTACGATTGTTGTAAATTAATGTGAAAGTCTGACAGTCGGGTTTGGGTTATCTTGGAGCTAAGATCGCTTTGTGGAGCGGGGCCCGCCCATCTTTGTGCAATAGATTTGACAGGGCAGTGCAATACAACCCATGGACATAAACAGGTGTTGCGGGTGTTGCACGTGTTGATACATATGTGGAACATTGTTTTTGTTATTGAAACCGTTATATAACGGTATATCCACAAGAAACGACGTGCACTGTAGTAAACTCCTGTTATGGAGCATTCGAACAAACTGTCATTCCTAGAAAGTTATGCGGGGGTGACATTTTCTCCCGAATATGCACTCAAGCTCCCTTGACAATTCCATCAAATTTTTGCCAAGCATCAAACCTATTTCAAGTTTACCATTCCATGTTGAAATGTGAATGTATTTAATCACCTGCGTTCCTTGGCAAAAGAACGCTGGCTCAAGGAGAAGTACTCTGTTTTTACTTTTGTGTATATACTGATTATCAATAAACATATTTCGTGAAGCTGTTTGCGATAGTATTCACCTGCATCATATATGCCCTCAGCAGGCAATGCTTGATGTAACAGTCGACTAACGTGTATCGGTTGGTCACATTGAATGGCCTTACTGATGGTCATCTTGCCCGTGGACGCTCATGCTTTCAACCACTGGTAGATCTAGACTCAGTGGGGCGGTGGGGTAGCCTAGTGGTTAAAGCGTTGGCTCGTCACGCCGAAAACCCGGGTTCGAATCCCTACATGGGTACAATTTCTGGTGTCCCCAGCCGTGATGTTGCTGGAATATTGCTAAAAGCGGCGTAAAACCAAACTCAGTCAGTCAGTCTAGACTCGGTTACCCGGATACTGATGACTGGCGTAACGAAATACTGAGTTGTCAACACAGATATCCGGACAGTGACCATTGGGTGTATTGTAATGATCAACATTGTTTTGAAAACACCCCCACCCTCTGGAATGATCTGGTTGTGACGTGGAATGTATGAGATATATGCCGGAATCAACAATCCTCGTCACTCCTTGTCATACCTGCACTTAAGGGCGTGTATGAACTGCAAGTGCTAAGTAAACACCGTCAATATCGTAAGGATATGCGTTTGATTCACCGCACAATCACTACTCCCGGATTATCTAGCGTGCCAAGAGGATTAATTAGTGTATTGTATTACGGGTCCTTGATTGGACTGCTCATACCCATGCCGGTTAAGACAGTGTTAATTATAGTTATAATTGCTTGTTGGGACCGGAAAGTCGTGCCGGAATATTGAATAAACAGGTGCCGGATTAGACAATGTTTTAATTATCATTATATCGTTGTAAAATGGCGTTGCAAAATTGTATGCCGGTTTTGACAGTATGCCGGATTAGACAGATGCCGGTGTTGGCAGGTTTCACTGTAATGTCAATAAACAGTCTACTATCGGAATTAAAGTGACGACTGAAAATTGACCTGAACACTTATTAGAAAAATGGTCGTCGAATTATTGTATTCTTAGTCACATCATCCGATCAATATATTAATTCTATGGTTGTTTCGCTGACACCTGACCCGTCATTTGACAGTGATTCATCAGCATGGTATACCCGCAAACATATATGGGACATATAGTTTCAGAAAAAAAATCTGTTGCTCGCATTTACGTAGAAGTACCAAGCAAGATTAGCATATAGACAATTATAAATGTGGTTTGAGAAACTGGATCCTTGCATGACGTACGTAAACTGATAAAAGGTTAAAACCAAAAAACATAAAGTTGATTTTTGGTAAATATTCATATAAAAGCAATGAAACCCATTTCTGGTGTCCCCGCCGTGATATTGCTGGAATATTGCTAAAGCGGCGTGTTACCTCACTCACTCACTCACTCACTCACTCATATAAAGCGAAAACAGATTTGACGAAGCCGTATTCGATTCTTCAGTATCACAGTATCCATTGCTTAATGTAAAGGTCAACTAACGTGTATCGAGTGGTCACAATGAGTGACTTGTCTGATAGCGAGTGACTCATGCATTCAACCAATGGTTGACCAAGACTCGGTTATTTGGATATCTGAACTAGTGCAAAACAATAATTACCCACCGCTAATGTATGTTGGGTGGTCACAATGATAGACCAATGGGTTACATACGTATATAGACCGTATGATAAATAGGAATACCAGAACTATTTGTTAGGAAACTAACACCACCATTTCAGAACTTTTACGAGCTATCAAGAACATGTATTACAAACAACCGTGATACAAGAATACGGTAAAATCTTTCAAATTCACAAGATACATGTGAGATTTTAAATAGCGCATGGTCCAGAACTAAATCCTCTGGGGCAACTTGATGTGGTCTATTGATTAACGGTAGTTGCATGTGTCACGTTCCGGTCAACCAACATCACGTGACTCTAAGACAAACACGCTACCATCTTTGCTTTTCTCGTCGTTGACATCAGGAACATCGATGTTTTTGGTAAGGTCAATTCAGAAGAGCCTTAAGAACCTGAATACGTTCTTTGACATAAGGGGCGGTGGGGTAGACCTGTGGTTAATGCTTTCGCTAGTAACGCTGAGGACCCGGGTTCGGTTCCCACATGGGTACAATGTGTTAAGACTATTTCTGGTGTCCCCCGCCATGATATTGTTGGAATATTGGTAAAAGTGACATAATGTTGAAGAAACATTTTCGTCATTATTCTCATTGACAAAATTTGTCTAATATAAACTCACTCTCACCCAGGGGCGTAGGAACACGGGATGGGGTAGTGGGGTGGGGGGGAGCAACCATATCTACATTACCATAACTACAATTTCATTTTGATTTTCAATACTTTTCAACAAAATTAACAAAAAAACCCACCCCCAACCCCCTTTGATAACCGTTCCTACGCCCCTGCATTCTATAAACTGCCTTAACGAACAGCACAGCACTGGTTACGCCTATATATGTGAACCATGGTATGTCTGTGCCAGATTCGAACTTAAGGAATTAAGCGACAATGGTGACAGAACGTGTAACAAGGGCCAGGCGGTAAAACATCTCTAATTTGTCTAAACCTGTTGTGCTTAGGTGAGACAAGTGTACACCATTGTTCCACCGTTATGAGTGAGTGTGTGAATATTGTTGTGCGCCCAAGTCAGTAATTTCCAGCCCTGTCGAGGCAGCCTATAAGGTGGTTAAAGCAGACAAAGTTGTTGATAGCGTCAGCAATAAGTGGTCGATAGCCTGAGCATTCAACGCCGACGTGGTAAGACATGACAACAATCTGCCAGGTTACACCGTATAAGCACCCGATGTGGGTATGTAGTCGGTTCAGGTGAAGGGACGTTTTCTGCTTTGAACCCAAACCAATTCCCGACAAGAAGACGATTACTGACAGAACATGGCTTTATGCCGATTTTAGAATACGGTGTGTCATGAGATGTTTAGAATATACCTTGAATCAACTAACCTCTTTAACTTGAACCATCTTTGAAATTTAAAGGTTGGTTGGTTTGTTGTTTAACGCCGCACTCAGCAATATTCCAGCTATATGGCGGCGGTCTTTAAATAATCGAGTCTGGACCAGACAATCCAGTGATCAATACATGAGCATCGATCGATGCAATTGGGATACGATGACATCAAAGTCAACGAAGTCAGCGAGCCTGACCACCCGATCCCGTTAGTCGCCTCTTACGACGAGCATGGGTTGCTGAGGACCAATTCTAACCCAGATTTTCACGGTTTGAACTTTAAAGGTGTTTCATCCTTCAGTGTATACCGAACATTTAACAAACGTGCTGTACGGAAATATTAAACTTCAGTGCAAAAGATACCCAATCTTGACTATCTGAAACAGATTCCATTTGATGTCACGGGCAACCCAGCTACTACAATCATATGAATGGACCGCTGAAAATCAGTGGTGACACCAGGTGTTTGCGAAAAGGGTGCACCCCTTAGTTCATGTTTAAGGAAACGGTAGCACAGTCACGTGATAATGGCAGCCAGTTTACATTTTGCACGTGTAGATAATGCACAGAGAAATATGTTATTCGGCTGCTGCAGTAGACTGCAAGTGGAAGGCATGTTTCCCGGAAATGACGTCACAAACCCTGGCATTCTTTCCCCACCCAGATTGCCAGTCACCAAACCCGAGGCTCGTAAACATACCCATTTACATACACGTATAGACCCACGATTCCTTTCTGTAGCAGTTGTGTCCCTTTCGAACATACGACATAAAGACACCTGTGACCTACTTGACTGAAATATTTCAGGTTACCTCCTGAGTCACTCACGGGAAAAGTTTGTCCCGAGGCAGAGACGACTTCTCTGATCGAACAGAGATGCGCACACGAAATATGCCGACTCTGCCCGAGGGCTGCCGAGTGTCTTTGGTTTAATAGAAGCATAAACCTGGTGAAAGTCATTATACGACAAGTTGGTTAGTAGAAGCGCTTCTTGAGAGACACAGACATGAATTTTCAGGGATGTACATGGTCGTCGTGGATGTTGATGATGTTGGTGATGTTGATGACACGGACACAAGCAGCGCTGCCTGATTTCATGTTTGGATGGACTTCAACGGAGACCCGTACCCAGGTCAGAAATCAACCTTCAGATATCGAGTATTTTCCTATAAGTTTATTCCAGATAGTGTTAGAGCTTTGGCAGACAATGGTATTTCTGTAACTGACATTTATAAGGATTTGTCTTTGCCAAGTTTCTTGTTTTACTGTAGTTTAAGGTGACAACGTTGATAATTGAATTATCACTATTATCTGGCGTAATACGGGTGGCGCGTTATAACTTTTGTCGGATTGGAACATGTTGATAACATTTTACCCTTAAATAATTTCGTTTGGGCGTGTCAAAATAGATATTAAGTTTGGACATAACATTGAAAGTAGGAATACAACAAACATAAATATCGTTTAAATAGTGTCCGTGACATCCGATAATAGTGTCTACGGCCGCATTTTACTAACTTGGGAAACGATCACAATACACACGACTAAAAGCAGGTTTACATGTATGTTGTGACGATTTTCCGAAACCATTTGCAATTCTTAAACTAACCCCTTCAAGATATTAAGCACATTCATTATTTATAAATACAAACAAAACCACTAAATATTAATATTATTGTAACGTCAGCAAATATGTCATGGGCGTAATTAATTCATATTTGTATCTAACAGAATATGTACGGGATGATACCACTTGGAACGTAATTCTATAAGGAAAGATTTGTTTTCAAAGGAGCTTGTAGTGAAAGTGGCTTTGTCACCTGTATCTTCTTCATTTGGAAGAATTTAAATTCCTTCGAAGAATGAAAAACGCCTTGACACAAGTTCCACTGCGATCTCTGTCATTCATGTGACAGTGCCATCATTTCAAGTCAGTTTTCTCCAAGGATGGTCTAATCTTGTTTCCATATTATAATGACATGAAGCATTACAGTACATTACGTTTTGCTGTACTGACACATTTGGTTGGAATTATCTTTGGACGTTAATAAAGTACC